ATGATGATGATGATGATGATGATGATGATGATGATGATGATGATGATTCATCTCCTCATTAATAGCCCTTGACCACGGACTACAGGGAATGGAATCAATCGATTTCAGCGGAGCTGCCACCCCGGGAACCTCTGCCCATTCTGAACCAACAAGGGGGACCGGCTCAAACCATAGATCTTATTGTATGATCTTGTCCAGTCCTCAAATGCTTGAGCGGTGAACACCAAGTCACCGCGGGCGAGAGATTGATGGGAGCACCCAAGCAAACCACGATGCCGTAGACGCAGCCTGGGCTCAAAAGGGCTGAGAACACCGCAATCTGTAGTTAGGATAACTATAGTATGAGAAGACAACTTCTCAGAGTCCTAGCCCTTGAAACCGAACATCTTGTCGTGTCCTTGCAGGCTTGAATGGCTGCTGCTTGGCTCTGCTTTGCGATTTGACGATCCAAGTGGATTTCCATCCAGGAATCCATGTCCATCCCGGAACACCTGGGGATGGGTCGTGACCCACGACCCTTCACGGTTCACCCGACCAGTCCACCCGACCTGCCGCCTTCACGACACCTGACCGGACCGGACCGAGGCCTCCAGTCCGACCTCCCCCGTGGCGGAGCCAGGGAACGCACCACGAACATTGTCATGTCATCGTTGCGATAGTTGAGGATGAAATCCTGCTCCGTGTACCCTCGGAAAGAGACCTGAGAAGGAAGAAGCCGTGGGTACTACGCATGGCAGGCAACAAAGAGTTCGAACAGGGGCAGCCGGTGGTCGCTCGTCCCGTGGGGTCTGAAAAAGAAGGATCATCAAATCAGGTTTCTGAGGGGACATACGTAAACATACAACACAAAGTAAGTGAGAACATCTGAGAACATGGATGAGAACCAAAATTCCAAAAAATGCATGTGCAATAAGCCGCATAGTCTCTTAAATCACCATACTCTCCCATGGCTCTCCACAGGGGCTCTTGAGGCTGAGGCTGCCAGGTCTTCTAATCGACTACTACTGCCCAAACTACACTACCTGTTGCGTCACGAACTATGTTCAGTACTCCTTCTCAAGCCTTGAGAATAAGACTGCCTTGTGCGCCGGATACCTCCTTGCATGCTATTCTTTTCGCCAGAGTGCCCAGAACTTCAAGTAACTCCTTCTGGGAAAGTTACGACAGAGTCAGTCTCCGCTGATTTCTCAAGAATTCCTTTGGATTCTCCACTGATGTTCTCCAACCGGGACCCTGCAAGATGAAGATGAAGATGGCTGAAGTTTTGGACCAACTTCCACAGCTGGTGAAACCGCAGTGAAACCGGAGGTCGCCGGTATCACATGATAGAGGAAGAGTCGCAAGTCACTCATGGCCCAAACTCTCCATGGGACTGGAATATATACATAGGGGTGTGGAACACTCCGTATAGAGGGGTTTTAAAACATGGAGGACAGAAATCACCATATACCTATCTTATCCTATATTCACCCATCAAATCCACCCATGTCTGGCTCGTGCTCTGACTTTGCCAGGACGCATATCCAGCCAGGCCCATGAGCAGGTAGAAGACGAATTCAATGCACACCTCGGCACCGGAGAAGCACAACGGGAGCGAGGATTGGACCTCCTCGCCCTCAAAAAGGCCAGAAAAACCGAGGCAAAGACCACCACATGGTGGATCCAGGTAATGGACTATAAGTACGATACTAAGTACTATACTTGGTACTATTTGCCTTATAATCCTTATATATAATGAATTGCTATATATTTTGAGTGTTTCCATTGCAAGACTTGAATCATCTTGAATCCATTACTGTAAATTAATTGGGTATCCCGGTATCCAAGCGTATCACAAAGGCTCTCCGATGCCTTCACAATGGGTGTTTTGCAACATGCTGTGAGATGTTGTTTCATGGTATAGTCACGTGCGAGTTCTAGTCTTGCTTTGTGACCCGTTGACACCCACCCACACACAAGAAAAAACACACAAGGACGACTCGAGCTGTTTTTTGTTGGCCACCACGGCGGCCCAGCGCAGCGTTCCATCATCCCCCGTCTCCGCGTGCCGCGTTGGAATCGTCAGAACTTGTAGACATGGTTGTTCCTGGCGGCGTTACTGGCTGTCCGGTCGTGCCATGCACGGCCGTCGACCCGGTCGCATTCCGGTCGACCCGGTGGCGTGGAGCTCGGAGTAGCTGAGAAGTCGGCCACCGCGGAGGGGAGACCGCACGGGTTTTGGGGGTCTGAGACGTAGTATTTTGGATCCGTGCTGTGATTCGGAGTCTCTCGCCAATGTCCGAAAACCGATGCCTGGACCTAGACCGACCCAAGACTGAGCGAAGAACGTCCACCTCTGGATGCGGCGAGGTCCCCGAGTCTGTTGGTTACACTTCGGAAGCTCCCTCTACCGACCTTTTCATGGATCTCCTATCGAAGTCTGGCACTATTTGGCCATTTTGTGTGATTTGTCCGTCCCATTCTCTTCCACTCCGCGCCGCTTCGCGCCGCGCGGCGGGTTTTGTTGCTGCGGGTGTCCGGGTCGCATTCCGGGTCGCTCCGGTCCAACCCCCCTACGCCGAGCTCGCTTGCTCGCTCCGAACGGAGGTTCGGGACGGCGCGAGTCCGCGGCGCGTAGACCCGCGACCCGCGCGACCGGCGACCGAGACACGGATCCAAGGGAGTGATCGGTGCGTAGTCTCCGCTCCACGGCTGCTTCTGAGACCGACCGAGCACCGAGCGGCAGAACGGGGCAGGGATGAGGGAACGCGAGACGGTCTCGGGGCGGGTTTTTCGATGTTTGGTGGGGAGGGAGTTGATTTCGGGACTGGGAGGGAAAGCGAATTGGTGAAGATGGAAACTCCATGATATTTTCACCAGGACCCTCCAAGGGGTGTCTATTTATAGCCCCTTAGCCATTAAGGGGTGTCCATTAACCACCCCTTGAGGGTCCTGGCAGATGTATCTGTATAATATGTACCATTTGTACCTACTGTCCACCCGAATGGGTATTGAAAGATGCCATCAATGACGTGATCATGATCATCAACCTGCTTTCCATGATGAGCGACATAAGATGAACATACACTTCGAGGGTCTAGGGCCTATAGTAGGGGGTGTCCAGAACATCTACTCACTTGGGGACCTTTGGAACTGCTATGACATATTTAATATATACCAGGACTGGTTAATGGACACCCCTTAACCTCTAAGGGGCTATTAATGGACACCCCTTAACCTCTAAGGGGCTGGTATAGAAACATGACAAAGGAAACCCACCTCATTGAGTTATGTCCGCCGCCTCCTGGCACCGACCTCCCACCGTTTTCCGGCACGGTGGAGTCGATCGATGCATGCATGCTACAACCTCACCCGACCTCTTAGGGCCGACCTCGGCCTGTGCAGCTGCAAACAGCATAGGGCGTCAGCCTCAAACCCTTTCTTCCAGGACCCTCCAAGGGTGCCCAATGGAAGCCTATAGGTAGTGTGGGGTAGTCCATTGGACACCCCTTGGAGGGTCCAGGTTCAACCCCTTAATTTCAACCTTTGGGATCTCCCCATGAAGAGATGGGATGTCTTGGGGATCTCTCCGAACATGAAAACACCATCTTTTTGGGGCTTTTGGGGGGGACACGCCGCTTGTTTTCCGATCTCCTCCGACCCCACAACCCAACAACACACCTTCTTTGGGGAGGTGCTTTCTGAAGTCCTATATCATCAACAATTCCGACCCACCCCCCCATGTTCCTCTCGGTCAAATCGCCACCTAAAAAAAACAACAACAACAACAACAACAATCAACAGCCCCGACCGGTGAACTCGTCTGCTGCATGGAAGACCGCCGGCCACCACTCGGTGAGGTGAGGGGCTTTCGCTTGCCAGGCCAAATGTCGATCGCGTAACTCCGCGCTCACGCGCTGGAAGACTGCCGGGTCGGCCTGACGGAAGCCGGTGGGCGGATGGGTGGGTGGGTGGGTGGGAGAAGCCGACGTATGGCGGACGAGCAAACAAAACAGTTCAACACCTTGTACACATACACACAATATCACGTGCAAGTTTTTTCCAAGAATGATGAATAATGAAGAATGCAAGATTCAAATGATAGAATCCATGTGGCTTTTTCCCGATGGAGACTTTGTTGTAGGTGGCTGATGATTATCAATTCAGCCTGACTGGGATCGTGGTTGCAGGGCGATGAAACAGACAATTGTAAAATAAACACCAGGCAGGGTGATCTTTAGAGAAGGAAACCACACACGAGCTTGGGAGAACAAAGAGGTACGCACACATCACTGCACGGTCGGGTAGAACAAACATATACACATCCTGGAGTAGATAGAATCTACTTTCGTACGAGGTGATGTGTGTTAAAACCTCAGTGCATTTGCCGCCGATTCATTATATAGGATATCATTTTGTAAGAAACCTTTTCCCTACCAAATTATATATATGGTTCTTTGTGTTTGTTGTTGTTTGAATATGTTTCCTGTCTTCTGCTTGTCTTTCCTTTGTTGCCTATTGTTATTCCTCTTCTTTCCTGTCCTTTTCATTTCAACCCTGTCCTGCACTGTCCATTCCTCGCTTCCCTATATGTTGTGTCCTGTGTATGTAGTGTGTGTAGTTTCAAATATACTATACATTATTGAGTAGCCCACACCGCAGAACAGCCGTCAATGCCCCCGTGCAGTGTTCATCATCATCATCAACTACAAACACTATTCAGAACTATTCGATTACAACAAATAATAAATACATTAAGACATATATATATATATATATATCCCTTTTGGCCTGCAGACTCAAGATCTCCCGCGCGGGCTGTGCACTATTGGCCAGCTGGTGAAAAAGATGGAATTCCAGCCACCACAACACAGCTCATCCTCAAACTCAATCTCAATCCAAAAGCAATTGTGGTCGGCCAAGGGGATCCTTCGCTCCATGTACTTCCTCAACAGGTTGGAGTCCTCGGTGCCAGGGCTCAGGCCGAGCTCTTTGATGGCTGCAGCACGAACCACTGCTGCCACCGTCGGCAGGTCCTGAACTGCTCGGATGAAAACATCCCTGGCCAAACAACCGCGCACGCCGCTTGATGACCCAGCGGAGGCGCTGTCCGATCCTCCTCCGCCCAGAGCCTTCAGAACAGGGTCGTTCGTCCGGCTGCCAACCAACTTTTGCAACAAAATCTGATTCTGCTGCAAGGAGGCCAGAAGCATTGATTGGATCGGATCGGCACTGGGGTCCTGAGCTAACAGTTGTAGAGGGTCGACCTGATGTCCCAAGTCCTCCTCCACTGCCTCGCGCTCCAAGTCCACGTACAGAGACTCCTGGCTTTGGACGGCTGGGGGAGGAGGCGGTCGTCGATGCTCTGCTGATGCAACTCTGGGAGGTGCGGACCCTGCAAGAGTCTTGAGTTTGGCCCAATCCGCAGCTGACAGGTTCGTCGGCCCGCCCTGGAACAACCCCGCAGCCTTTGGACCATGCTTCGGAGTCCCTACACTGCGACTGGGAAGCAGTGGTACTGTGGTTTGGCTGCGCTTCACTTCCGACTCCAGTTCTACTTCGTGACTACTTGGTACTTGAGGCTAGCTGAGGTACATTAAGTGAACTTATGCTACTTATAACATAAGTTACTTATAGCTAGAAATAGCTAGGAATAGCTAGAAATTAAGTAGAAATTAGCTAGAACTAGCTAGAAATAAGTAGAAATTAGCTAGAAATAAGTAGAAATTCATCATTTCATTGGAAACAGGTAAATATGAAAAAAGCACTTTTTTGCAAAATTACATTAGCTTTATAAAAATTCCGATCTGTTGTTTGGTATTTATAAACTTTCCTATATACAGGACATGTTATGTGCAACAAAAAGAGCGGCCATTAGGCCGCTGGTTTGTTTTGGAGCGTTTGAGGAGAAGCGTTTTTTCTCCCTTTTTCTCTCTCAGCCGTACTTCTTCGGCTGAGTGGCCCACTTTTGGTAGTGGGCCAAGTTCTTCCCACCGCGGCGGCGCTAATGGCGGCCGAAAGGACGCTCAGCCTCACGAGTTTCTAGTGTATCTGAATGTATCCTCGTGTATCCTGATGTATCCTGGCGTATCTTGATACACAGGATATCACAGGATACATCAGGATACATTCAGATACACCACCCCAGATACAAGCCAGATACACAGGATACATCAGGATACATTCAGATGCACCCCCCCACTCCCCCAGATACAAGCCAGACATATTCAAATAATTGCTTTGTATTTAGAAGTTGTTATGCATTCAGAAGCTTGCGCACCAAACATATCTATTTGTTTGACTGGTTGTGACAACAGAGGGAACATAGGATAGGAATTAGCCAGACAGAAGTACAAAATAATGGAAATTAGCTAAAAACCATTGGGTAATATGTTGAAGTTATAGTCGCAGTTATAGTTTAAAATAAGTAGAAATTAGCTAGAAATAAGTAGAAATTAGCAAGAAATAGCTAGAAATAAGTAGAAATTAGCTAAACATAGCCAAAAATAAGTAGAAAATAAGTAGAGATAAGTAGCCTCAACATAAGTACTATAAGTTCATAAGTTACTTCTTAGTACCATAAGTAGGACCCCGGTACTTATCGAACTTATAAGTTAGAAGGTGAACTTATAGAACTTATAACATAACTTAAAGAACTTATAGTGCAACTTCAAGTTACTTGTCACAGCTCAGCTAGCCTCAAGTACCAAGTAGTCACGAAGTATGATGCGAGCTTGAAGCTGAGCAATGATGTCTGGATCGTTTGGATCTATGGGCTGCCCCTCTTCGGCACTGAGATACTCCTGAGCAGTCTGGGGATCCATGTCGTCGATCCACTGGCGGGCCAAAGCGGCCACTGACTCTGCAGACGGTTTGCCTGCTGAGCCCGCCTCGGTCATAAACCCTAGCACTTTGAACTGCTGCGCCATAGCGCCACGGAACTGAACAGCTGGGTAAAGGCAAGCTGCAAAACCCCAGGGCAGATCGACTAGCTCGGCATCGCACTCTCCGACTGCTTTGCCTCTGGTGTTCAACAACGAAATCTTTCCAGAAAAAACATAGGACCATCTTCTGTGCCAGCCTCGGGCTCTAAATCTACCACAGCCTGGTGGACAAGCTCTGCAACCGGGATGACTAACATGAAACCATTCTCTCGCACTGATGCAAGGCCAGCCAAAAACAGATTGTGATCCGGTGGCTCTGCGCCTTGAATTAGAACATGCACTGCTGGGACCACTAAGGCTTCTGACGCATCGGCCCGAAGCTTTCGGATCCCATCGCCCGTCAAGGGCGTCCTCACTCTTCCCTGCGCTGAGGCCATGGTTCCCCAGCGCCTGCCACGTATGCCTCTGCCTCAGCCTGGCTGGGGAAGGCGTGGCAGACTGAGACGCGATGGATGCCACGCTGGGAATGATCTTGAACTGCTGAAGGTCCAGATGAGATCGGTCGTGCTGTGATCGTCAGTTCCAGTCCTGCCAGCCTAACAGTGATTGATTCGACTGCTTCGGATGACATGCACTAGTTTCGACGATACTCAGCAATGCGGCCCCGGTGATCCAAGCCAAAATTCTGCCCAGCCCAGGATGCACAAAGGAGTTGCAGCACTTGGCACAGGAATTTGCGAATCGGAGATGAGAACACGATGGATCCCAGGATGAAACCAATTCCGCAACAAAAGCAGCTTAGGATCACTCCGCACAAAATGACCACTCCCCAGGGGCAACTGCTGGACGACGAGGTGGACCAGAAACGCAGCTCCCGGACTGCGTCCACCAGGGCCCAAGATACCATTCCTTGACCCGAAAAGGCTGCCGAGCCAGCTCTGATGCTTCCAACCGTCAAGGGATAGAAGGTCATACATTTATATATGAACAATCATAAGCATAAAGAGGCTGTTATATCTGTTATACAATAATGTAACACACATAACGTACACAATCTGTTTGTGTTTCGTGATGTTCTGCGGCAAGGGGCCCAAGTGCTGTAGTAGTTCCCGTAGTCCAAAGCTCCGTTTGGAGTGGCTTGTGGAACCTGCGGGAACAAAGTAAAAGCAGGATAGTATCCTCCCTCCAACAAACATGGATGTGGACAACAACCCGTTTCTAGCGGAACATCGTCATCCAAACCCAGGGGCCATGGCATCCACTGATGATTTCAGGGAGTGTAGTATATCCTCCAATCGCATGGCAACATGGGACTCTCGCAGTATACGGGAGTGTGGCCCCTCACAACGGTCGCCAGGCCTGACCAGGCCAACATCTGAGTTGCACACATACATCCAACCTCAACGTGTGAGTTCTTCGCCAACTGCGTCTGTGATTCAAAACCTCACCCCTGCTTGACCCAGGTCGAGGTCTTCTGAACAGGCCGTCAGCCAGCAAAGCTGCTGGTCAAGCCACCCATGGGTCGTTTGGTCGTCTCCAACGTTTGGACCAACGACCCTTGCAAAAGACTTATTAAAAAAAGCTTTTCACCTCGGTTTTTGGAGACGGCTCATCCTCAGGTTTTCAGACTATTCGGTTGTGACTCCATGTACCTATACCCATGATTACCCATGTACCTATACCTCAGGTTTTTGCCTCTACCCAAACACTCCATGGAACTGGAACATAAGCCTGCAACGATGCCTGCAACGATGCCTGCATTGACTCCCTTTCAACCACCGCCAGTCCCATTGCTCCTCGGCAGCCGCAGTGCTCCTTTCGGAGGCAGGGGACCGATGAGACGAGGGATCACAGGTAACAGGGTACTTCACCGGTATATCCCATGACCAGTAACAATGGTTGATGCAAAAACGGTTGAAAACTCCAAGAAAGTCGTAAAACACTTCATGAAAACAAAGCTCTGTTTACCCCAAGGTTTTCTCCTTGATGGTCCCTTTGGCCACAATGCTTTGGAGAAGGGAACAATGCTCGAAGCAACTTCTCTCTTTGGCCACATCCCTGTTTGAAAATGATCTGCCGGCACGTCCGCACCCGCGAAACTATCACGTACAGTAGTTGACCTACTTCCAGACATGGGCGATGGCTGACCTGTGCCAAGCATGGAGAAAACCACCAAAAACACACCAACTTGCGGACACATCACTCCCACACCCCTTCCACTCTTGTGGGGTACTCTTCCAGGGATACTATGACACAGAAGACACACCCCCAAGACTCCGCGTGAGCCGGCACCGCGGCCTGGCACCGGGTGTCACCGCAGGAGCCGTGGCAGTTTGCGCAGGAGCCGTTCCGGCTGTGGCGTCGCTGTCGGAGCTCAAGGGGTCGAAGGGGTCCCCAGTCACTGGGGGGAGCTCCAGGAGAGGCTTCACCTGGTCGCGTTGGGCGGGGCGGTCCCACGGTGGTGTTTTCTTTTTTCCGAAAAAGAGATGTTTGAAACCGTGAGATCTAGTGAGCAGCGTTTGAAAAGTGCGGTATTGCTCCACAGGAACTATATTAATTAAGTACTCGTAATATCGATGTTTTATGTGGATGAATAATGTATATGTAGTACATAAGCCGGAAAGTCAATGTTGAGACATTGGGCAGGGCATTTGAATGATAGTGGGTCGTCAACACAACCGTTGATGAATCCGTGGTTGTTCAACATGTACCCTCCCTACAATCATGAAAGTGGACAACCCCCTCTTAGATCCTCTAGTAGAGGAAAATAGTCTTTCAAGGGGCCGTGGTCCACTTCCATGATTGTTTCAGGGAGTGTAGAGACAAAAGGCTGTTAAATCCGAACCGACATCGAGCCCTGTTATTGCAAACTTGAGATTCCCGGTGTTGTGTTGGTTGGAACAGCGCTAGACGTGGCCACAGATTTTCCTCATATCGACTCCAAAGAATCCAAAAAGAATTTTGCCAAATCAATATGTGCCGTGAAAATCTTTAAGATAATGATTTTTGAGATCAGAGTATAGTGCCGTCTACTGGAAAGACTGCTCAAACACACGTTCCGTATATGCTCGTATACCTTGACATGCAAACCACACAGCCCAAACAAAACTAAGGTGTAGCCACCAACCATGATAAATCATCAATTATGTTCACCCCTTTGTGCTATTCAAGTATCGTTGGAATCAAACATGATGAATATTGATGAATCAAACCTATGGAATGATCATGAGTTTAGAAACCTCTCTTTATCCACCAGCTCCGTTCAAGCAGTCTCCCCACAGGAAAACAAAACAGCACCTCTTTCAGTGGGATGTCCACCTTTCCCCAATGCGAAAACCCCCCAGTCGCTTCGCAGCCCCAGTCACTTCTCGTTCCAAGCTCCAGGAGTTTGACACCTGGACATTGGGATCATTCCGCATGGCTTCCCAGCGCCTCAGGCGCGGACCGTGCGAGCGCGGAATGGCAGAGCGCGGGATACGAGGATCCGTGATACGAGGATCCGAGGATCCGACCCAAAGATTGATATTTATATACAGTATATATATATATATGGGACGGCACGGTCAAAACTCCTTATTCTTCTTCAACTAACAAATGGACGTCATCGGTCTTGAATGGGACCTTCTCGTAGCTGCGTAGCTCACTAAAAATCTAGACGTCCTTCCAGTGAAACCACGTCTTCAGCGAGTCGGTCATTGACTGAGTCTTCCGCGTCGGCAATCCGACGGTACAACGATCCACATACCATCCCACATGGGCGCAACACACACCGCAAACACTCACACCAAAACAACCGCAAACATCAACGAATGAACACAAACAACATCAAACAACCAAAACGACCAACAAAGCAAGGCGACCTGAAACTTTGGGTAGTTGGTAGGTTTTTGGAAAATCCAGGTATATATTGTATACTTGTCCGATGTTGTCCAATCCCGCTTATAACATAACGAATAGAATAACAATGAAAATAAGAAAATACACATCCTGCATTGAGAAAACCACAGCAACAACTCTGACCCCCCCAAGATAAGCAAGTTGTAAACACTTCGATTTCATTCAACTGCTCAAGGAGGTTTTCTTTCGTATACCTCTCAGGAACCGAGACTTCCGGCACCGGGCACCGGCCGCCCACCTGGCGATGATGCTCAAATCCTCGTGCCAAGGCAACCAAAACCTGTCTCGGCCTGAACCGTCCGTCCGAGGTTCCCACGTGGACCGATATGCATCGAAACACAAACTGATTCACCCCCCCTGGCCCTTCAACTACCTCCTGAGGTGGGCCAGGGCTGGGCGCCTGGGGAGTCTAATCTGTATCTAACCACCTTTTGTGGTATATAAGAATGTTTGTTGTTGTTAGTTAGTTAGTTAGTTAGTTAGTTAGCTAGCTAGTTAGTTCGTTGGTTGGTTGGTTGGTTGGTTGGTTGGTTAGTTAGTTTGTTAGTTAGTTAGTTAGTTAGTTAGTTCTCTGAGGGTGGGTTATAATCCTATTCAACCACATTAGCTTGTTTTGCCTCAGATTTGGAAGAGACATGAAGAGACCAACCAGTGGGTTCCAACTGGTGTACATGTTCTAGGTTGAACTTTGATTCTGCCAAGTGAAACAACAGAAGGCATTGAGCCTCAAATATCCTGAACATACAGTAACCGTTTGGAATTGAAGTCATCTACCCCTGTTAGTTAGCTTACAGGGATCGTGACAAGTCACTTTGAAGCCACAGGCTGGCAGGAGAAACCAGCTCTAAAATCTCCAAAGTGCCTATTCAACCTCCCAATCATAAACATCTCTTCCGAGGCCGCTTACATTACGGGAAGAAGGCCCAGCAAACCTTAGCAAACTAGGACAGTGAAACCTGTGTGATTCACTGCCACCAGGACTACCTCTTCCTCACCACAAGGACTACGTCTGTGACAACAACAACAACAACAACTGCTACTCACACCGCTTCTATTGCGAGTCGAAGTGCAAGTCGCCCAATACAACCTGATCTTCCACCTCCGAATGGTTGGTGCAAGTGGACGCTGCGATCCACGCCGCGATCCCCTCCGCACCGTCTCTTCCAAGGAGGTTTTCAAGCTTCACCCGATGCCGTCGCATGTCGACCTTTCGAGAACTGGACAGGTGGAGGATGTCCGGTGGTGGTTGCTTAAGCGGAGAACTCCGGCAGCAAAACTCGTGCGTATTGATGTATGGGGTTTCTATAGGAGAAATGCAATTCCAAGAGGTCAATCGAATCTTGTTCACACAAGAACAGAGTCAGGCTTTAAGTCAGTCCATCAAGTTCTATATGAAGTCTCCAAGCATCCAGTGGAGTCAACCAAGTAAACCAGCAAATGGGGTCATACTAACGAAGACCATGCTTGCATGGTTTGAACTCACTTGAATTGTAAAATATGAGTCAGTGGGCTCAATCACAATTAAAATCCATTAAAATCCATCACCAAACGTGAGATGTCAACCCTACAGCTGGTCTCGTTTCCTCCATCGGCCCCTTCCGGTCAAAGTTGAAAGGTCGAACATTCCCAGCCTGGAAACGTTTCAAACGGGTTGCGGCCGATCGGGTTGCCTCGAACATATTCTATTAAGTAACAAAAGTCCCTCTAAATATAACTCTTTTCTTCATTGATTCGATATGATTCGATGGCATCCATCGGTACAGTACATGGGGACTTGATATTGTATGACCAAGCATAGAATATCATAGAATCCCATGCTAAGTTAGCAAGCACTCCAGCCTAACAAACATCAGATCCACCCTCCCCAAAAAGCTGTCTTCGTTCGGAAGAGTTCGATTGGTTGGTTTGCGTTTAGGTGTGAAGATGACGGAGTTCTTGGGACTGGGGAGCCTTCTGTTTCAGCTCACGGCACTTCTTGTTTTTGTGCAGTTTTGCAGATTCTGCAGCTTCGTCGCTCGTGTTTGTTTGAATCTGGATGGAAAGCATCCACTTGGAAATCGCTCAAAGCTTCTTTGTTCAGAGATTCATCTTTTCCCGGTGTGTGATTTCTAGTTTTGGTTGTTTTGCTGAGAGCCTTGTGAAATACAGTTTGCTTTTTCCAAGTATCCGGATACCTCTTTTCTTGAAGAAAGTTGAAATGTGTAGAGAACTGTTTTCCTTTTCGTTCTCCTTGTTTTGAGACTTTTTTTTTGCTTGGAAGATGGTAGTCAGCATTGTTTCAAGGATTGCACCTGTCAGGGTATGTTCTCTGGAATTGGAGGTGGGTTGCCGCAAGATTGAACTTAAAGAGTCTCAGGTTGAGAAGAGAAGTGCGTGGAACTCTAGAACTACAGTGCTTTCTTTTTTCTTTTCACAGCTCCGAGCGGCTGAATCGCCCCGGCGGCCACCGTAGACGGCCAAGAGGTTGCGGCATTGCAGGCATTGTTGGCGTTCTTCGTTCTGGGAGAGGCTGAACCCGACAACCCGCCCCAGTGAAACACGGGTCACGGGTAGAAAGGAGGTCCACAACGGTCCAGACTCGAACAGGAAAGCCGAATTTGCAGGATTTTACACCTGCCATTTTGTAACTTCCAGTCTTTCAGTCAGTGGAATGTTTAGGAATTTGTATATTATTAGCCTTTGTTGGCCAACTGTGTCTGTGAGAAGCCCGTACTTTCGCAGGTTTACATGAAGTTCCATTGGGATGGATCGGAGTTGTGGGTTTGGTTCACCCAGTTCACCCACATGTTCCTGGACATCTCGAAACCCTGGTTGACCACGCGCACACAAATTCACAGGGAGCGGCACGGATGTTATACCTGTAATCTTCCAAAAAACCCAACCATGCCCTAGGACTTTCTCAGAAGGTACGACTGGACCCTCCAAACCCAATCACCTTCTCAGAGGGTATGTGGATCACTAGGGATGGTTTTGAGAGGTTAGGCGTTTGAGAATCTCGAAGAGCGATTGCGATGGGAATCGGATGTCCTCTCCAGTGAGACCTGTTGTTGGGACTGTTGGTGGTCGGATAATCCAATGGTGGAAACATGTTGAAGATTTCTTTGTGCTTTTGAGACTGCTTAAGTTTAAGACCCCTATGACCAAAAGGTATTCCAAGACTTCACCATGCTACCACTTTGATCGAAAGAAACACCCTGGATACGGACCTACATGTGACGAAAGCGGGCCACTCATCTCGCCACGCGCTCGTCTCGAGGCCGTGGAGAAAAGACTTTGACGGTATGAGATCACCTGTCTGGACACCCAGAAAAGTAGACTGGAGGATCATGGAGGATCCATCCCAAAATTCTCCCCTCCAACCAACAGGGGGGCTTCAACTTTCGAAGCCTATTTTTGTTGCTCCCCCACGACTGGTATGTAGACCAAACACTCTTGCTATCCCAGTGACGCTGCTGTACTTCATGCTCCAGTATTCCTGCCATTTAGGTGTGGTGGAGGGGCTGCAGCAGGGGAAGCTGGAGGTCCACACAGTGGAAGCACACAACGGTTTCTAGGGCCTAGGGGAAATCAAGGAAGTCACATAGGCCTTCCAATTGATCCCAAAGCTGAGAAAAGGGTTGAACATGGTTGAACCAACTTTGGGGACCGATGGACCGACTATAATTACTTTTGTTGAGCCGGTTGAGCAGGCATTTGAGGCCCTAGTCTGAGAGGTCTCACGAAGTGTTTTGCAGATTCCGGAAACTCAAAGGACTTTTGTTTGGCTTGCCGGTGGGCAAGGACAAACCCTGCCAAACTCGAACAATCCATGCGATGCCTCTCCAAATCTTCTGGAGTGCATTCTGAAAAAATAACCCTCTTTCCGCCGAGCCTTCGCCGACCCAGGCGGTTTCGGGGACTCGACGCCGAGGTGCCGCTTCATCGACCACGGTGGTGCCATAGAGGTCTTTGGCATTGGGGTCGAAGCCTCGTTCTAAGCATTGGTGTAGGAACCACAGCCTTGGTGTCCCCAACCAAAAACCACGGTGGGGGCGTCGGTTTTTGTTGTGCCACTGCCTTGAAGTGCCTGCCGTGTGAGGCGCTGCCGTGTTCCGGTCGACCGGACTTGCGCCGCGGACCGGTGGGAGCGGGAGAAAGCGTGAAGGATCGAGGAGGGACCCACGCTTTCAGGGAGTGGATTCGTGTGGGAATCATGTGTACTCCTTTTTGGTGCAGGATGTCCATAGTACTCCCAGCAGAGGTGGGTCAGAACCCGAACTAGACTATCCTAGTTAGTTCAGGTCACTGGATACCTCTGGTCCTGCCTTGTAGGGACACCATCGCCCTTAAGGACACCATCACGAAGCACTGGCCTGAACGGTCTCCTGAGCACTGAACTCAGCTGACCACTCGGCGTGAATGTGGCTAGCTAAGCCCGGGCAAAGCAAGACGAAGCCCAGACTACCCTACCTGTTCAGAAAGGTCCAACTACCATCTCAAGAAGAAACAAAGGAGAAGGAAAGAGAACATATTCATGAGTATATACCAGCACCCTTCAAAAGGTAACCAATTGAGACCTGTTAAGTCCCAACAGCCCTCTAGAGGAGACCTGTTGGAGGGTGCTGGAATGATTTAGACTACAGTCAAACATGTGTTGCGTTCCAAAACATTCTGAACAAACCATTACACTCGTCTTCGGTCTATGTGTGAAACACTTTCTTCTGCGACTGTCAGCAACGCCAACGGAGAAAGTTCAATACTTTTTGTCTTATTGTGTGATGAACTCAGAGCTGGCTGCATCTTCTCCACCTGGTTAGAGACGCTCAGTAGAAAGAACGAACATGACAAACAAGACATTTGATAAATGATTTAACCATGTTTAACCAAGCTGACTCAAAGCTGACCAACCAAACTCATACTAAGATGTAAGACAGGCTTTGTTAGGCTTTGTTAGTTAAGGAGACCCCGCAGGGTCAGGGAGGCCCCTTAGATGGCAGGCGGCGCCCCCGAGACAAGACAGAAAAACTCCACCAAACTCCAGACTTCTCCAGTCCCAGACTCCAGTTCCCACCCTACCCCAGCCCCCCAGCTCTGGAGACCGAGGAACTGGCCCCCCCGGGCGGCGTAATGCAAGACGCACTTGCCGGCGCCGTCCCGACCCTCGTCACTCCCACCGCAGTTCAGCGCTTGTAAGAATGCTTCCCGATCATCATTCATCACCTCAGGGTGAGAACACATGGTCCGTTCAGAAAAGAGCACTCCAAAAATTTGCATTTTGTGTAGCGATCACTGGAGAAGTGATTTCACCCTGAAGAATGTAGGCGTGAAGTTTCCAGGTCAAATCGGTTCATTCTAGCTACTGTATATTGTCCGGAGATTGGAAGGCTCCATGACAAACCATGAAATCCAGAACTACTTGAAGAAACTGGCGTTAGCCGGGTCGGGGTGGTTCGAGGTCATTAGCAGGACTTCGCGGTCTGTTGCTGAAAGTATCCATTGTAACATGTTCATCAAGAACCTGAGATGAAAAAGACATCAAGGTCGGTCCACCACTCTGCAGGTCGGTCAACGGATGGGACCCACGACAAGTTTCGTCTCCTTCGACGGAGGGAGAAACCCGGTTGACCCTGAGAGACCGAAGCTCCGGTGGCTTCATCCTCTGATGCGAAGAAACCGCCGCTGAAACGGGTGGGATGTCCTAAATGACCGGAGGAACTGCCCCCGAGAAGGCGTTGAGGCTACAGTAGGTGATGGCAGTGGCAAATGGTGACCACAGGTGGGGTAGCTCATGAAATCTCATGAACCATGAACAAGTCTTACAAAGTTCAGGGGTACAGGTTTTGCTATTGGGCACCTGTTGGAAAAATTATCCTGCATGGGAGAGATTGTTGTGCACATGGTAACCTGTGAGCTCAATGCTAGCACAGAAGGTCGCCCTTAATGGTTCAAACAACAACAAACATGTCACACCCCTTGGAATAATCATGGAAGTGGATGGCGTAACCGGATTCGGAAACTAACCGGTGGGATTCGGAAACAGGGCTTCTGAAACTGGTCTTCTGAAACTATAGGGTTCTGAAACTGGGATTCTGAAGCTAGTATGCTGAAAGTCGGGTTCTGAAACTAGGATTCTGAAACTGGGGTTCTAAAAATTGTGATTCTGAAACTACTTTCTGAAACTGGAAAGTCAACATCTGCAACTGGTGTTTGAAACTTGTGTTCTGAAACTGGAATGTACGATTCTGCAATTGGGGTTCTGACATTTGTGCTTTCAAACTGGAAAGTCAGATTCTGCAACTGGTGTTCGGAAACTGAAAGTCTGAAACTGTTGTGTTGAAACTGGGAAATTCACAGTTGCGACATCCAGGTGGAGTGGTTATGTTTGCTGTCGCTGGGCCGAATCCTAGATCCGGAAACCCAGTTACGGAATCCCAGTTGAGGATCCTAGATGCAAAAAACCAGGTGCGGAATCCAGTAGTCGCAGAATCCTAGTTGCTAAATCCTGTGCAGTTGCGGAATCGATCCTTATCCCGCCTTGGACGACACTTTTCCGAATACCAAACAGGTGGTTTTCCATTGTCATAACTATTCCAGGACGTGTAATTACTGGTTTCGCGGGTTCTACGGGTCCCGCGGTATAGACCCCAGTTGGAACCCAGAAAACAATCATCTGATGGCCACAAGTGATGAAGCCTTAAGCATCCTTCACAACTCAAAGTCCCCGATCATGAAGAGCACTCTGTGTCAGTGATTCCTTGAATAACTTTTCGCTTCGAGTGCAGTCATCTAGTCAGTTGAATGGAACCCTTCGTCCCGTTCCTTCTCCAACTTTCCCCACATGGTTGTGCAGCCTCAGAAAACTGCACTGCGGAAACAACTATATAGTTTGGTCCGCCTTGGGTCCTGCAATCATAGCCGCCTTTGATAAACAGCCCATTTTGAGAACTTTGGCCACTGCCCCTCTCACCAGTTATGTATTTTTCATATTTTGTCAACCTTTCTTGGGACTGTTATTTGCAATGCTAACCGCCCCTGTTCCTTTTCTCTAACTCCTTTAACTTCACAAATCCCTCACACCATGCTCCTATTGTCAAGAAAAAAGCACTTCCCCAACTCAATTTCTACACCACCTCTTTGGCATTGCCCATTCAGAGAAAAAAACATGCTCTAAATTAGCGGATACGCGCATAAAGTTTGACCCAATCCTCCTCAGCAATCTTCTGGATCATCTTCTCCATGGCACGGAGTCTGTACCAGCCAATTGAACGACTGCAGCCTAAACCTTGCACTTACCCTAAAATCACATAGAACCCCCAAACCAGTCACAAATAACCCAATATAGAGTTCTGTGTAAAGCCCTATCACAACAAATTACGTTTTGAAACTCCCAACGGGGGCCCCCATAACCCCTCTATTCCTAACCCACCTTACAGTAATTTGGTCCCCCCGCGGTGGGACATGTTGTGCGCCACACAACAATAAACATCCCACAGGTCTCCACTGTCATTTCCAATACACTCATGAAAAGGTTTAAGTCTTTGGAACCCCTCCTCATGAAGAGAATTAATTTGTGGTATCTTTCCTCATGAAGAGATTTAGTCTGTGGGATCTCTCCCCATGAAAAGATTTAGTCTTGGCGACCTTTCGAAAGTTCCCAATCTTCTGACGCCCCCCAAATATGAATCGTTTCTTGTTGGTTTAGTTATCTGTGTTTGACCGTTAGAAAAATCACCCACGGTCTAACGACACGGTACGTCCCACGCGTCGTTTCGTCCCACGCGTCGCGTCGCTGAAATCCGAGCGTTCTCTCGGTCCGAGCGTCTGCGCGGCGGAGCTTGACGTTGGGATCGCTGGGATATTTGGGTTTGTAACTCGGTGCGTGACGAGGAAGAGCGGGCGCAAGAGCTCCTGACGGGAGCTAACACCAGTGAGGTGCAACCATCCGCAACCCATAGAGCGGGCAAGCTGAGTAGATGCCGGACTCGAAGAGACAAATGGACATCCAAAGAACTCTGATTTGGGTCCTTCCACTCTGAACTTATTGTAGCATTCGGAATGTTGAACCACTTTCATGACCACGTCACTGGCTTCAAAACTCTCCAAATCTCTCAAGGATACGCCAACGTGCAAGGATACGCCATTCAAACATGTTGGATAAAACCAAGGCCCCTGTCCTGTTCTTGTAAATATATCCAATCTACATGAGCAGCAAACCAAGGCCTGCAATATATGCCTGTTGTTCTTGTAAACCAAGGCCCCTGTCCTGCAGCTCATTTGTTGCAGTTCTGAAATCGCTGTTCTTTCACTCATCCGTAACCCAGGCACCTCCGTAGTTGGCCCAGGCATTCTGTGGGCTCATCTGCTGCACCGGCATGGGGATCGGCGGTACCGGCGGGACTGCCTGAGCGAACAGCGCGGACCGGGTGTTTCCCCATGTTTGGTGCAAATGACGCAAACAAATCTTCCAACTGTAAGTGAACGTGGTTGTTCTGCAGAGGAAAACACACCATTGTATCCAAAGCAATGATTAGGATGCAAAATGATAGTAACTCTAAACAATCTTCAGGTGTGCCATGAATATCATATTGTCATATGGTTCTATCCACAAGCAAAGTCATCTCCTGTGCAAATTTAGAGAGAATATGGGTCAGTGCAACTGAGTGATGGTGAAATTTGCACTTGCTACAGCAGATGTTGAAGTCATGCAAACAACTGTCAGCAAATGTATTCAAGGTGATTATCAGGTGATTTGTCTTTGTTCAGTTTTATGCCTTTTCATACCCAGCGCAAAAACACAAACTAAACAATAGAAAAGAAAAACACTAAACAAATTTGAGTCCGGTGTCTGGGCTGGATGCACAAACAATGAAAGAACATACAGTGGTTTATCCACCATATAAATACTGCCACTAAAGGTTAGTGTCTCACAAGATCCCTTTGATTCCAATATCAAGCGACTCTTTAACAAACACTTGTATATATGTAATATATATATATGTATTATATATATATACCAAAATATATCTGTCATTAAGATGATTCACCATCAAAGTTGTTCAGACATTAGCAACAAAAACAATTAATTTTTATTTTTAATCACCACCTAGCAGGGGTTCCAACTACTACCCACGTGCAGGAGACAGGTGTACCATGGAGTCGCCGCCCCCACTCGGCTCCTCGGCGGAGGGCACGGCCGTCGGCCGGGCGGCGCCGCAGCGGCGGCAGCCGGGGTTCCGCGCGAACCTCGGAAGCAGCGCGGTGGGAGCCTAGCCTTCGGTGGGGAGTCCTGAAGCGTCAACAGTACTCTCTCAACAGGTGAAAGAGTAAGAAAGCAAGCACCAAAAGCGTTTTTGCTGAATACATCCGTTTATATACCCATATACTGCTACGTAAACATATGATATATATATATTATAAATAACACTACAGATTCCAGCAGGACTGCCAAGTTTGGGGTGGTCCGATAGGAAGCCAAATTGGTGGATCGACGAATTTCCCCACCCTGTTCTTGCAGAAGCCGGTCAAGAAGTCGAGAACGCGCGCAACAAATTGTCCACTAGACTACAAGACTATGCTCAAAATGGTATTTTCCGTACATGACCGGAAAGAGGAATTTCCTTCACTTTGGCGGTGCAAAATATCGTCTTCGGACTTCTAGGGCATACTAAAGTATAAGTGATGAATGCATAGTATGAATACCAGCGCCCTCTTGGGGGGAAATCGGCGCGCTTTCATTCGGTGCGACCCGCTTCACCACACTTGTTCCCAGGTCCTGTGGCCGCTCGTTCGGGTCTGCACGTCACCCAAGGGTCTGCCGGGATCCGGTGGTTGGGGCGACACATGTGGATAAATCAGAACGACACCTATATGTGTGAAGCAAGAACGATACCTCAATGGGTTTGTGATGGTTGTGTGTGAAGCAAGTGGACCCATCACAACCAGCCGCTTTTATCTAATCTAACGATACCTATATATGTACGGCGAAGCTGTTAGATTACAGTAGATAAAAGCGGCTGGTTGTGATGGGTCCACTTGCTTCACACACAACCATCACAAACCCATTGACCCAGAGCAATCAATAGAACCGGACTGGTAAATCTCCAATCAACTCAAAGACTCTCCGGCTTGTCCTTATCAGTATCCAACAAGTTCTTGGCACACTTTAGTATTATGATTTAAAGCCTTGGCATGTGAACAATAAGCACCATGACACATGTAAAACCTGAGGCCCGGTTGGCCCAGTAGTGGTGTGCTATTTCAGGTGAATGGTCATGCCTTCGTTGGCACACAAAGCCTCAGAAAGTTCAGAAACTCCCAGGTCCTGCACCTGAAGCTACCCGCTGGGAAGGCGCGATTCCTAAGGTTCTCTCTTGTGAGAATTTCAGCTACTTGTACCCTCAAAAAGATCCTGCAAACTCTTGAACAAAAAGCCCAGACATGGATAGAAAAACCCTCTTCACAGGGGGGACTTGAAATATCAGCAAGTCTACATGACTTTCGTCGCGCTAGCAGTCACTAGCCACCCGTCGACCCTCGGGCTTCCCGGGCTGGTGATCGCCACAGCGGGCGCCTCAAAGGGAAGTGAAACTGACGGAAATCAAACACCGAAGACAGGAGCTCCTGAGGCGGACCGTCCGACCTGAGCCCCGTCGGACCAGCGGTTGGATCGAAAATAGATCCCATTGAGCTTGTTGAAGCCCAGGATGGAGAGAGTATGTTGCATAAACATGTATGAATATAGCGCGACGTGTTCGAGTCCCGCAGCAGTGGATGTACATAGATCTTCCAATGGTACAACATCACAGATTCGGCAGAAAGTCGCATAGTTGGAAGATTTCTCTCAGGCTGAGACCAGTTTACGGTGATACGCCGAGGATGTCGACATCTTCAATCGGCGCGATCGCTGCCGTCCCAGTGGATCCACGAGCTGAAACCCATTTCGACCATTCATGGGAAACCAATTCCCGGCCGCTACTTCCATCCCTGAGCTGCGGAAGCGCCGGTTCCATCCCTCCGAAGCCGGGGACACGGGCAAATCCAATCGCCCTCCTTGAAGTCCTCAGGGAAACCGTGAAACTCAAGGAAGCCGAGAGCTGTCCAATGAAATTACTTTGTCGACCACGGCGTCGTGGCGTCCACTTTATGTTGACTGCTGTATTCATACAAATGCCGGACTGGAGATGTAGACCCATTCTGGTAGTATGATTTTTGTTCATCACCCAGGCAACGCTACGGTATCGCGGTATCGCTTTTTAAATATACGATTTTCAAAAACAGGTGAACAGGTATTTTAGACTACCTCCGGCAAGGTTTTTGCCAGCCCGGCCCGACCCGTTAAACATACGGAACCTGAGAAGCTGCAAAACGAAAGCCAGCGCTTTTGTGGGGCTGATTCGCAATGCAAAGCCGGGAAGAAGCTATTTCCACTGTCTGTGAAGCCTGATGCGCGCCATACCTGGGAACAGAATTGTAGCTACAAGACCTTTATTTTCAAGGTGGCCTGAACAGAGTGGTTTAGGGCAGCAAACCGTGGTCTCAGGCCACCTTGAATGTAGCTTGAAAACCACAGCTACATAGCTACCCTGGGTGTCTATACCTGGCAAGGTGCCAACTACACCTTTATTTTCAAGGTGGCCTGAACAGTGTTTTAGGGCAGCAAACCGTGGTCTCAGGCCACCTTGAATTTAGCTTGAAAACCACAGCTACATAGCTGCCCTGGGTGTCTATACCTGGCAAGGTGCCAACTACACCTTCATTTTCAAGGTGGCCTGAACAGAGTGTTTTAGGGCAGCAAACCCTGGTCTCAGGCCACCTTGACTTTAGCTTGAAAACCACAGCTTTGAAGCCTCATGCGCGCCATACCAGAACTGTAGCTACTTGTAGCTACCCTGGGTCCGTATAAATAGTATGTTGCTATACCTCTTACACACCTATACAAGTTCAAAGCACGAATGAGACTTCAAGGCTGTGGATTGCTGTGCGTGTGTAGAGGTTCTCAAGCGGTTGACGGAAAGGGAACTTGAAGTACTATACCTGGTAGCTGCACTATAGCTACCCTAGGTCTCTCTACCTTGCAAGGTGCCAACTACACCTTTCCATTCAGATGATGCAAATGATGCAGTTGGCATTTCTTGCATCACCACCCCTCAAAAATCACCTCCAACACAACCTCAAAAAACCTTCCCTCGGAGCACCCTCCTCCCCCAGCATGTGCTGAGTTGACGTATACCTTTCTCGGGCCACCCCCCCAGACCCCCTAACTACTCACTTCGTTCGCCAGACACAACTCCGCTAGCGCCTTCTACGAAGGCTGGCTTTCGTAATGAATATACGGTACGATTTAAATATACGGTCAGCTTACATATGTGCGGCAGCATTTATTTGGTACTGAGCTCAAACGCGCAATCTATTATGCGGAGGAGGCCCTATCTTGTTTAGACTACTTAAGTAGAAGGTCATGTCATGTCACAGTATCTCGCTCAGACTACTTTAGTCTTGGTAGTCCCGGTGGTCTTGGTGGTGATTGTGGCGGTCTGGGCAGTGTTGGTGGCGCTCTTGGTGGTCTCAGTGGCCTTGGTGGTCCGGTCTTGGTGTCTCGGTGGTCTTGGTGTTCCCGGTGGTCTTGGTGGTGATTGTGGTGGTCTAGGCGGTGTTGGTGGTGCTCTTGGTGGTCCCGGTGGCCGTGGTGGTCCGGTCTTGGTGTCTCGGTGGTCTTGGTGGTCCCGGTGGTCTTGGTGGTGATTGTGGCGGGCTAGGCGGTGTTGGTGGTGCTCTTGGTGGTCTTGGTGGTCCCGGTGGCCTTGGTGGTCTTGATGGTCCCGGTGGTCTTGGCGGTGGTGGTCTTGGTGTCTCGGTGGTCTTGGTGGCCCCGGTGGTCTTGGTGGTGATTGTGGCGGTCTAGGCGGTGTTGGTGGTGCTCTTGGTGGTCTTGGGGGTCCCGGTGGCCTTGGTGGTCTAGGTGGTCCCGGCGGTCTTGGGTCCGGTGGTCTAGGCGATCTTGGTGGTCTAGGTGGTCTTGGTGGTCCAAGTGGTCTTGGTGGTCCAGGCGGCCCTGGTGGTTTACTACTACAAAAATCGGGTTCTGTAGGTGCCAAAAACTGCCTCGTTACAACATGGCCCCTCAAGCTCTCCCTTTTCGTAAAAGAAATGTCAACAGGGATTACATTTTAAATATACGGGGGGAACAAGTATTTTATACTACCTCCGGGGCCGATTGCTCTGGCCCGGCCAGACCCTTTAAATATACGGTGGGAACAGGTCTTTTATACTACCTCCGGAGCCGATTGCTCTGGCCAGGCCACCATATATTTAAAAAGCGTTACCGTACTATTTGGTACTGCTTGATAGTGTCATGAAACGTCCGTGCTAAACCAGGGTATATGCATAATAATCCCCTGCTCAATTTCTGAAGAATTGGCTGTGTCCATCCACCGGAATTTCTGTACCCAGGACGGTGTTGGTGTTGCCTTGTCTTCCTATCGCTTTGTCATGCCTTGTCTCTGTCTCTCTCTCTCTCTCTCACACTCAGAACAAGCAAGAACAACCAAGAGCAAGAGGAAGAGGCTGCGGAAGAGAAAAAGGAAAAGGAAGAGGAAGAGGAAGACGAAGAAGAAGAAGAAGAAGAATAAAAAAAGAAGAAGAAAAAGAAGAAGAGGAAGAGGAAGAGGAATAGGGAAGAGGAGCAGGAAGCAGAGAAGAGGAGAGGAAACACTGTCTGTCTCTCCGTCCGTCTGTCCGTCTGTCTCTCGAAACAAGATGGCGAGGAAGCAGAGAAGAGGAGGCAGAAATGAATAAGCAAAATCACACACACAATGCTATTAATGCACGACCACTCGAGCAGCATAGCTTGCACCACGGGCCTTGCACGCAGACTTGAAACCCATCAACATAAAGACATATAAAGACACCTTTCCAGAAATCCCTAAAGAGGAATAGAAACAAAACAAATACGTAAAACACACTACTTCAGTGGTCAGCGGCAATCCTTTAACCAGCGCGGGGCCGGTGTGCCTGGACTTCGCTGGACGACATGTCCATTCCCGCAATAAACACTCTGTGTGGAGCTGATTTGTGCTTTCTATGGTTGTATCAAATGCAGTTGAGAGATTGTTGCAGTTGTCTTCCTCTTGGTTGGGTGTCCCGACAGAAGTGCCCGGAGCGGCCATTGTGGGCTGCCCCTCGAGGATGCGAGGCGCCAAATTCTGCAGTGAGTGTTGGGTGGTAACTCGGTCTAAAAATATAAACTCTGTCAGAAACCAAGAGCCAATTGTTGTTTCTCTCACCTACTTCACTCTCCTTCCTTTTGGTACACGGGCTGCCTCCTAATTGACACTCATGAACATGCTCCGATTTCCTACCATGGTACTACTGCAAGGAGGGGCCTCTGCACAGCAGGCTCATCATGGCCCTTCTGGCTTTCTGACCATGCCCAGTACATCTCCCCTTCAAAGAGGCCCATGAATTGCCCGGTCGTTCGGTCCTGCAAGTGCTGCATCAGAAAGCTCAGCTCCACGTTTCAAAGCAGTTTGTGATCCACTTACCGCCGGGGGGATGACCCAAGTACAATCCGAGAATGTCACAACAAACTCAAACACTTGAGTGCGGATGCATAGTTTTTACATATACGATGTAATATATATATATATTACGTATCTCCATGGACCCTTTTTCAACCGCCCCTGGCCGTTTCTCGGCAAATATGCCAGTCCCAAACACGTCGACGTGTGTGGTCGAAGAGGGTGTTCCGTACGAAAGAATCAGGCCGCCCATGAAGGACCGATCCTTTAAATCTTTTGGGAAAAATAATTCGAGGGGTCAGCTCCATGTTTTTTCAATTGCAGGGAGCGTTCTATGCTACTGACCACGCGCCGAAGCCTGCTGAGCGTCACCCACCGAAAATGTCAAGCACCCCCGCCGAATGGGCGCCCATCGTAAGGGTGCACACTCCAGACCTAATTCGTTTGCGAACTCTGTCTGTCAAACGGTGATAGGATGTACGTTCAGGTCATGCGGACTGGTGACACATTGCAAACATGATTTGCCTTGAAGGCCAAAATCACCCATCATTTCCCTCCATTCAAGGGTTGTTGAGTTGCATTTAAGGTTCAATCCCCAACATGGTCAAGAGGAACCCTTCCTTGACTTCATCCGAATCCTGCCATGGGGGGGCGGGCATGCATGCTGCGTGTGATGGGCTTCATGTGGGGGTCATACATGTTCATCCAGGGCTTCAATTTCAACAAATGTAAATCCTACAAAAAGGCTAGTGACGGCTAGTGCGGATCTAGATGACTGGCTTCATTGGGAACGTGTCGTGACCCCTGCATGGAGCTCCACAATCGAAGACTTCCCCTTCAGTTCTAAAGCGAACAAACGTTTTAGTTGTTAAAACAAGGAGACCCTTGCGACCAATGGGTTGTGAGTCAGTCCAATCCCTAGGCATCCAGTCGTACAGAACCTCATAAGGTACGACTGCACCCTCCAAACCTACGTAACAGAGTCTCCAATCACTCACCGGTACAACTGGATCCCCAAAACAATTGCACACACCTCGAGAAACACCCCACAACTGAGCACATGGGGATGGACAGAGTTTCGGATGTGGAATTTCCCAGTTCGCTTTCCCCCAGTTCCACCGCAAACAGAAGAAGCTAAAACCGGAGAGGTCTGGCTATTCCAATCCTCTGTGCCCAAGGCACGCTGACCGCGCAGGCGATACCGAGCGTTGTGGCGCAGGGGCTGGCGCAGCCCTCGGCTGCGGAGTGGGCATTGGAGCAGGTGCAGGGGAGGAGCCTCAGCGATGTAGCATGGGGGTGAGGGTAGCAGGGCATCCAAAAGCCTGATTTTCACTACTTCCAAGCCTGCTTTGGGTGAATATGGTATATGGCCCCACAAAAAAATGTACGTGTTTGTCCGGCGGAACAATTTTCAGGCAAAGCTCCAAAAGAAAACACAACAAACAATTTTGGTTTTGTCTTTTATTACTTCGTCCGTTGTGGCTTGTCACTTCGTGATTTGGTGTTATGCCTGTCGCGAACTTTCTGCATCTTCTGTTGTCCGGCTTTCCGGGGAGACAGAACAAATACATCTTTTTCAGAGGTCCATATGTATATATATATATAATATTACTATAACTGTATATGGGATCTGGTCTAAGTGTCTTCTTCCAAAAATGGCTGAAAGTCGTGTTCACATGGGGGCCCGCTACATATTCTTTACTTTTGGCACACACACACACAGCTGGTTAATGAAGGAAACATGGACCAAACAAGTATTGGCGCCAAATTGCAAGAGGCGTCACTAGCGCTGCAGCGTTTTCAGCTGATCTCCGGGCTTCAAGCCATGCTTGAAACAAAAGACATGTTGCAACTCAGCCTTGGAAGGGTCCACGCTGGAATCTGGCAATGTTTGCTAGCGCGGATCTAGCGAAGCCCTATCGCGCGGCTAGCGCATTTTTCAGCCAGCCACTTTTCAAAAACCGGACGACGTTCTGAACATGCCCCAAGGCAAATACTAGCGTCACTAGCGCAAGTCTACCGCAAACCTAGCGCCCAGCTGCAGAATAGGTGTGTTTAGCTGCGGGCCCGCTGCATAATCTAATTCAAAAAACAACATCATAAGCTACTTTCGACCCCTTTATCTAGGTTTTTTGATTATATACTGTTTGGCCGGACTCCATATTTGTATCTGAGATTATTAGATAGGTGAGAGCCCACTTCGTGGGCAGTAATTACCATGCTTGGCAGAAGTGACCCAGCGAAGCCACTTTAGTCAAAAGTCAGCCCCTTGTGGTTCCAGTATGCCAATCCTCTTCGTTGGACCGAACTAAGGCGGCACATGCCTTGAGATGTTGGATAAATTTGGATGTAGCTGATGCTAAGAAGGAGCATGGAAAAAGGTCAAAAGGTTCGATCACCCATACTCTGAGACTCGCTGGAACACCAGCTATAGAAACCATGCTACTAACACATACTAAAAGGGGCCCATATACCGCAGGCCCATACCCAACACCCAACGCACCGAGTCATACGTTCGATGTTTTGGTGAACCAACACCGGACCTCTGACCGGTCGGGTGACCGGTCACCGGTGACCCGCGGTCCTCTCATTCCCCGTTCGGTATAGCGTCCGAACGCTCCGTTCGGTAGCGATACCAGGAGCCCCGTTCGTAGCTTCTTGTTCCCAGTCTATATAGCTACTTGCTCCCTTCGTAGTACGGCCAGGAGCCCCGTTCGTAGCGTCCTTGCTCCTAGTCGCTGCTGTGGTCCTCATTGAAGATATCGTCATCGTCGTTGTCCGCCATGGCGCGGACAACGACGTTGAGACGTACGCTGGAGACGTTTTCCGCCGCGATCTTGGACATGTTTAAGGAAAGGTGATCTTTGGACTTCAATGACTTCAATGTTCAAATGCCATGAGTTTTGGATGACTTCAATTCACATGTCTGATGGACTCATACACTATCCTCATGTGGGTCTCTTGACCACTTCCAAACCAAACACAAACATTCACTGACGGCAAATCTCTTTTCTCGTTCACTTTCATCGCTCTGCTGTTGGCTAGTTGGCTGGGAAAGCAAGGTGAAACCCTGTGCAGCCTATGCCCTGCGACCCTGCCACAAGTACTCAACTGTGAGAACGCACCCCAAAGTTGAGAACGCACATGGTTCACTGATTCCATGACTATCCCTCTCGGCAAAGCCGCTTTTCTCATGGACTTCATGTCCGGGCAAGAGCCATATCTCGCGACATGGAAACGCAGCCAAAGTAGAATGCAAACGTGTTCCCTGAAGCAGTTGTAGAACCCCAGAAGTAGGTGAACAAGTTGTCTTAAACGACTGTGCCATGACTGTGCCTGTCTGGAGAAAAACTCACTTGGAAAGAGTCAGCTAGTATAGTCTATAGTAGTTCAGGTTTTGTTTCGAGTTCATTAGGTCCAACTTTGGGAGAAACATCCAGCAAAGCTCACAACTGTTCTAAGCAACGATATAAGTTCAAGAAATCCGTTGCTATCGGGAATACCGAATAGGCCACTTGCAGCATGACAAACAACACGTGCTTTCATGGCCCCTCTCTCACCCGGAAAAAAAATAACTAAAAAACACCAAGACCACAGTCGACTTGTCGACCTCAACAAGAAACGGATTTCGATGAGATCCCAACGTCCCATCCGGTCAGAAACACATCGACCCTCTTTTTTGGGTGCATGGAAGGCCCGGACCGAACTGAAATGAAACCTGATCTGTCACTCCCCCGAACTGAGCACCCAGAGATGTGAGAATGAAACCATCTGTAGAACGAATGAAAAATCTCATTCACAGTCAGCATGGACTTGTGGATCTGACTTTTCTTCAGAACAAATATCCACATCATGGCGCCCCTGCTTCACCCTTCACCAAACGGAAGGGCCGGAAACGCCGCTTCGTCGCTCCAACGTCCACTCCGAGGCGCCGAGTACAAAGAGACCTCAGCGGCCGAGCAGGGAGGAGGTTGACCTGGCTGTGGGTCCCTACAACTGGGTGGGTTGACATCCCCAACCGATAGATCGAGGAATCCCCTTGATGTCATTATAGGCGGTCAACCAGGGTACGGGGTTTTGACCCCTCATTTGAGAGAGACCGACTTGGCCTGGCGGTCAGAAGGAAGGGTGGGTCTCCGAACCCAAAGGGTCGAAGCCGATTTTAGACCACACCCAGTTAATTCTCTCAAACATATACCTTTCCCAGACACTCCAAGTATGACATATATGCCTACATTGGGGTGGTTTGCGGGGTCAATGTAGGTATATATGGCAGTCCCATGGAGTGTCTGGTTTTTGGAGCCTGGATACTTCCAACCACTAATGGCCCGGACGGCGCGCGCAAGGACAAATGCGAAGAAGCGCCCATCACGTCCTCCCAAACGCCTTCCAGTTCCGTGGAACAGGCGCACGATCGGTCGAGCAGCTCGCCAGATGGTGGCACCATCCGCCTGACGGAGTGAGGTGGCCACGGGCACTGCGTTCGTGTGCGCGGCGAAGGAAAACCTCGGCGCCACCGGGGCGCAGGGAGCGAGTGTCGCCCAAGGTGGGGGGCGAGTGGCCCAGGGGGGGCTCTTGACATCCCAGGGGTCTTTACATGTCTTAACCCCACACAGTTTAGGGGGCTGGTCTTAACCCTGAACCTTAAGGATAAGATTCCAACGACAACCAGCCCAGTCCGGAGGTTTTAGTGACATATGAGTGGCGGACAAGACTTCTTGGTGTCCCCAATGCCAAAAGTATTTTGTGTTGGCCCCTATCGGTTTCCAGTGTTTTTGAATGCAGGCATTGTGCTACTTGCTACTTTCAATCAAGAAAGGGTATCGGTATAGGGTTGGCCCCTATCGGTTTTGCAAGATGTTGATCAATTCAGAGATTCAGGAATACTTAAGGCGGCTCATGACTGAAGTACATAGTACCAAAGTCTTGTCAATTGCTCATACTCCTTACTCCTTAGATCTCCTTAGGTGCCCTGCACTGCGGTGGTGCAGAGTGAAAGTCCCATTCGCCCTGCTCCGCCGTCCGTTCCGCTGTCCGTGCCGCGGTCCGGTTCCGGCCGAAGCGCAGGGCAATGCTGAAGGATTGTAGCAATGCATACCTGGCGGTCTCACTGCACCCGGAAACGGCCTGTCCAGTGACCGCCAGGAAGAAGTCCGTGGGCTACCAGCCAATGCGTCAGTTGGGTGGAAAAAGGACGTGTCACTGTCAGGATCAAAGGTTCCTTTTTGTAGTGGGAACTTGGATATACTTGGATGCACTGGGACTAGTTTGATCAAACATCATCATCCAGAGCCACACAAAGAAGGAGGTGTTTTGTTGCAGGGATCCTTATCTTTCGATAATCTTTCTTGTTGCAGTAGGGGACCCCTCCATCGAATTCGCGACTGTGTTCCCTCAATCCAAGACACGGATCCGATTTCCACCATACCAACTGCCACTTCTCCGCGTCAGCTCCCTGGCTCCTGGCAAGCCCGGTGACCATGGTGTCGTGTAGGATCGCGATGGTGTCGTTCGAATGCGTGGAGGATCGTGGAGGACAAGTAGACTACTAGGTCTACAATGGTCTATACGTCTTATGTGGTGAATCTATATCTTTAGTGAGTTCGAAGCCACATGGCCCATGTGATTCAATGCCTGCCTTGATCATACTCCCACCCTGGCCCTACTAATCTAATCAAATCTAGCAATTGACCGAATGGGTTTGTCATCGAACAGGAGACATGAACCACAACCAACGGGAGCAATAGAAGGTTAAAGCTCATCAAGTGGGAGGTTCCATGGTTCCTCAAAAAAGAACATGACCAACCTGTGGAACACAACGTGGCTGTAGAAGCCCTAACACCTATAACCCCACACGCTATCAACATCCGTCATCTGGGCGGTTGGCATCTTACTGCATCACACATCCACACTCAAACAAAACATAATGCGCACCATGTCAAGCATCTTTGCAGGAGCAGTGGTCTTCAGATTGCTCAAAAACTCTCAAATAGAATAATATCCGATGCATGCATGCAGATGCACAATCAACATAATATATACATATATATATAATATACTTATGATGGTATAACAATATTATTGAATATCACTGAAACAAATATAACAGTTATCCATTCATGTTTTTTCATTACACTGCCGATCCATCTCACATTCTCTCTCACTCTTTCGCCCGCGGACGTCCGCGACGCCGGTGTCCCGAGCCGCGCGTAGCTGGGCGTCTTCAGCGCGACCACCAAGGCGGTCAATGAGATCGCTAGGACGCTCAGCACACCTCGGAGGCGCGGTAGGGATATGGTGGTCCATTTTGGTTATGGTATAGGTTATGTTATGGTATGGTTATGGTGGTTTAGGCATGTTTAGGCGTGGTATGGTTATGGTCCGGGGAGAAGGTGGGGGGCCTGGTTCTGGATGGTTATGGTGGTTTGGGGCGCTTAGCTGGGCACCTGTGGGAGCCGAGTGATCTTCAAAAAAGAAAGATGGTTGACAATGAGGTTTTGAAATGTCTGCAAAGAAATGATGTGGGGAGTGGCTGAATTTCGATGTCAAATCCTCCAAGCCGCCTGGAGCCGCGAATCTGATTCGTCCTTAAAGCTCCGACCTGTGGATTTGCAGCTTGGAAATGACTTTGCTTTGGGGGGACCATGTGCCCTAATTACCCATCCCTCCCCGGGTTTATCATATCATAGCCGTGCAGGATAGGGCAGGGGAAACCTGAGCCACTTTATAGATATAACGTGTTGAGGGGTGACCCTCCATGTAGTATACTTTGGGGGAGGGACCTACCGAACACTTATATATAAAATGGCTGGGCCCCACCGCCTCAGTTTGTGATGTCTGATTCTCTGTTTCCTGCGTTCAAAGACTACCTTTTTCTTTCCATCGCAGATTTTCTCTGCAAACCAGATTTTCTCTATAAAATCAAGACCTAACCTCCCCACAGGGGTAGGCATGAAACGTTTTCTGGAGTACCATGACCCCCCCATTTCATAGGGGAAACCTACATGGGTATAGCATATCTGATATCTCCTTGCAAAGTCGCTAGTTTTAGCTGGCTCATGGTTCTTCTGGGCTTCTGCCAGAGTAGCACCACACGAGTATCACCGCATCACTTCGACTGGCCACAGACGTGTCGTAGTGCCGAGAGCTTTCGAGGCAATGAGAGTGGCCACACCACTACCATAGAGATAACCACCTGAGCAAGGACAGACATGAATTGAATAGTACAACTCTGCTTTTGCAATGTAGCATTGATTTGGCATTGATTCTGCATTTAGGTTCTAAGAAACGATGAGACACTCGTAAAGGTGCAAAACAATCCCATGAGAACCACTCAAAGGTGGACCCCTGTTACTACCAACATGCTGGAGTCTTTCGTTTTACAGGGTTTTGGGCAACCACATCATGGAAGACCCCTCCAAGATGAGTAAACTCTTACATGAACAGTTTCGCCTGTTGCTCATTTCATATTCAGGGAGCTATTCAGTAGGAGTCCGAAGTCGGGATTAGCCCTACAAACCACTCTAGACATCTGGTTGTTTACCAATTCTTGTCTGCAAGAATTCGTCAACGTCCATGATGATTCACAAAAAGCAATCCATATACAACTATGAGAACATGTGACTAAAACAGACACGAAGGGGCCATCGTGAGCTTTAGATAAAGAAGGATTAATCCGGAATCCGGATTAATCTTCATGTTTGTCCGTCTTTGTCTATCAAAGTACTATATATGTTCAATACTGTTGGTCTTTACGTGGCTTATTTTGTCCCTATCTCCTTGCTGTAAACGTCTGTTTCTTGTTCACAAAAACTTATATATAATATATAGTATAGTGCTAACAAGTATTGGCTATTGTCAACTGGTTGGTGTCAAGTTCATTGTCAATATCATTGGCAATGTCCTGAACTGGATTTCAGGCTGTTATAAGCCACACCCAGGCGTCAGGGTGGCCATGCTGGTTCTGGTGGTCAAGCATGAAAGGTCTCCGAAAAAAAAAAAAAAAGATACTCTGCCGATATGGGTGTATTGTAGTAAGGAGACATGCAAACGGTGAAGTCATATCAAAGCAAAACTGCATCTAGGACGTCCGCAATGTTTTTTCGTTATAACCGGAAAAAACACGAGCTGTTTATTTGCCAGGCTATGTAGGAACCAGCGAGCAAATCTTCTCTACTGCGGCTTCACTGACACCATCGAACAGCTTTTATCGCACTACTTGGCTCTCCCTATCTTCGCGTAACCGTGGATGGTGGATGTGGTGGTGGTGGTCGACGTCCCTTTCGCCCCCGCGGTCTGGTTTCTCCCCGGACCTGTCTCCGCGTTTGGGCCCCGCCGCCCTATCCCGGCCGTTTGGGCCGCGCGGCGATCAGCGTCTCTCGTGAAACATCGAGCTGCAGCAAGGGCGACCTGAGGCCGCCGCAGTCGTCCGAGTCCGAGGTCCATCCCCATCCCCGTCGGTGAAGGCACGAGTGACACGAGGTCCGTGGTGAAAGCTGTCGAGCTTTGCGTCGTTCTTTGGTTCCGCCGTTTTGGGTTTAGGCATTTAGCTGCTTTCTCCAGAGCCGGGTGGGTTCAATTGCATAAATGACTGCTGTGCAGACCGGTTGTGATGATTTAGTCGTTGACACTCATGAAGAATAAAGCGAGGAATATGTGGTGACAGCGCGCAAGCAAAACTAGCACATCAAAAACAAACATAAACATGTTCTGCTTCACTGCGTTTTCGAAGTTGAGACGCACGGAATCTTCCAAAGTTCATCCAGGGTAGCCCGTAAAAACCATGTTGGACCTACCAATTTCAGGAGGCCCTCAGTCATTTTGCAGCAAAGCCATGTGGTAAAAGGCTCTATCCCGCTCGCCAAATCCAAGAAGATGGTTTGGAGGCTCCCGGTCCACTGATCGTCAAAACGAACCAAGAAACCACACATTTGACGTCGCCTGGGCGACTTCTGACGCTTGATGAGACATAAGAACATGTTGTCGCGACGCTTTTGAGACGAAGGAGATTCTTCGTCGGACAAACGGTCTGAAAGCTTGGACCTAACACCGGTGCGAAGACAGGACAGAAACACCTGCAACGAGGAAACATCCCTTCACTCTCAGCGAGAGTACCAACGCAGCTGGCCCATAGCCGGCCTACCAAGTGCAATCACAATACCCACTCAAGGCACATCTGCCAACTGAATTTACGCTGAATTCCTAAGCCCCGGGCTGTGCAATGCCGAGAAAGAAGTCCCCAATGAACATGAGGTAGCACAAAACTGCTGCAATCCTGGCGAAAATAGCTCTAAGATGCTCTAACAGCATGCAGCATGCAGCAATACTGAATGCTTGTAACATGTTGCCACATGTACCCCAAAAGAAGGATACCTGGCATCTCCAGACTTATCTAGGAAGACCTCCCAGGTCTTCCAACCCCTCTTGCAGGTGTCAGGCACTCAACCCAAAGCAAAACAGTTCTGAAAGACTCACCGGGCCAGGGTGGTCTCCCTGTTCAAACCACGGCGTTTCAGACCGAACGTCCCTGCACCCTCTCTCGCCCTCTCTCGCCCTTGACCGGTCCCGTAGACTGCGATGACCACGTCCACCGCGCGCGCGGGCGCGGCGCGACCGGGGCGAGAGGATGCCAGGCCCACGAGTTGCGCCATGCCTGGTGAAAGCGACCAGCGACTGGCGAGGGACGTGGTGGATGGTTCGTTCGTCACCGCCACGCTCTCATCCAACCCGAGCGCAGTTGAACTGGCGCGAATTGAGGGAAACAGGGACGGTTCGGACCCTCTTCGCCTGAGGCTCAGTCCTTTTAAAGTGCCACAAGCAACCCCCCACGACCATAGTTCACAAATACTGCAGGATCGTGGAAATTCTAGCAGGCTTTCTTCAACGTACCATTCGTTGTCTCCCCAAATATCGTGGCCTCTGCGAAAAGACGGGGAGATCTACACACTGTACAAGGCTTCTATTCTATTCTATTCCTTTCAGGGCAAACAAAAGGATAATACAAGGAGAAAGGAAAAGAGAGAAGAACAAACAACATAAGAGAAGAGCAAACCAGGCCAATTATACCAGCATCCACCCCAAAACAGCAGCGGCAGCTTGATGTTTCTTTTGCCAACGAACCTTGAAAGTTTTTGCCGCCAGTTTTGAGCCATGAGAAAAAATAGACAAAAGAAAACAAAGCACAGTCATATCGGCCCAGGCATCCAAGAAGAGCCACTGGAGACAAAGGAAATACAAAGCAGATCAAAGCAGAGTCATCACAGACTATCACCCAAGAAGGGCCATGGGAGACAATTGGGAGACAAAGCTGAATCATGTCAGCCAGAACGGCCCTGAAAGACAAAGCAGGATCATCTCAGCCCATCTAGAAGAGCCATGAGGACAAAGGGGGACAAAGGGAGACCAAGTAGAATCATCTCAGCCAAGCATCCCAAAGAGCCTGGGAGACAAAGGGGGACAAAAGGAAACTAGGTGAGACAAAAGCAGAAACATCGCAGCCCACCATCCAGAAGAGCCATGAGGAGACAAAAGGAGACAAAAGGGCAGAAATCATCTTGGCCCACGATTCGCCCACAATCGTTTCTATGCAAGAATTGAGGAAGCCCTCAGAATGTGGACAGAAAAAGGATGAAAACACCGGGGAAAGGAACAAACAAATCAAAACGCACCCAAGTACATTATATAAGAAAAACACACACTGAAAATGAGTAAACACGGGAAAGGAACTTAACGCTTCACTACGTTCACCTTGCGCCCCATTAACTCAATGCATGTGACAAATGAGTTTAATATATATATATATATACATACGTAATATACACATAGTTAAACAATGTTTAACAGTTTCATTCATCCAAGTGCATGTGTAACTTGCCTGTGATGTGCATGTCCTTTTGGACAGACCAGTTCTTGGTTGTCTACTATACCATGTCCATAGACATGTGCCTACTTCTGCTGCCCCAAAAGCCTTGAACTCGGAGTTTGCAGGGTGCGGGAAGCCGTTTGCTTCATACCCAAACATGACCGCTGGCATATTTACATGTATATATATTGTTATATATGCACTATACCTTCGGGTGGTTGGAAAGGGGTCAATGTAGGCATATAGATACCCATGGAGTGTCTGGAAACTGTTTGGAATATATCTGCTCAGGAACTGAAAAGCCCTGAGAGTGTGCAAAATGTTTTGAGGATCTAACCCTACCGGTCAAAAGACCTGACCTCATTTTCCTGGAGTTGGTGATACAAAAACAGGTACAGGATCAGGTTTGACGATGTTTTCCTGGTCAAGCTGGACCTGTAGGGTATCAACTTCGGTTGAACAACGACCACTGGTGCCACCCCACACGCCCAATCACAACACAACACGCCCAACCACAACCCACGCTCGGCTTTCAGAGTCAGACCATCGGCGGCTGGAGTGTTTACCTCATAGACCCTGAAGCCAGCCCGAGAAAAAGAAAGGACACGGGGAATACCAAAAGAATCATCGGAATCATGTTATTTGAGTGATTGCATTTAGAAACACATGGGTTTTTAGTTTCATGGACTTTTTTGGGGACTGCAACCCACAAGCCACATCGTCTTCTAAAGACACCCCTCCGGAGGTCCAAGATGCTATCTGATTCAGTGTAGCGTGCACAGCTCATCAAAACCTGCGCCGGGCTCATGGGAGTTCGTGACGAGTTCGTGACCCAGGTGGGCTCGTCAATCCATCCATCCATATGTTCGGACGATATGGCTCGGCGTCCTCGGACGCCCCACGATACGAGAGGACGACGCACGACCCGTCTAAGGATCCTATATAGCGATATAATGGTCAGTGATCCGGGAGTTGGCAAGTTGACGGATCTTTTTTGGTAGAAGACCTCTCTAACTTTCATGCATGTTTTGTGCGGATGCGATGATTATGTTCATGATATAGTCTTCCGTCTCCACTTGCAACACGAGTCAAACTTTGAGTACTAGTAATTAAATGATAATAACACATACTAAATGAGTTGTCGGTGGTGCTGAGGCACAATGCACAACCAACAAACACATAACAAATCTTTCTACGGTGTATGCAGGACACACGTAAACACAATGCCAGTGGCTGCTAGGCTGCCAGTGAAACCGAGCGAACGAACAATTTCCCCAAATCTGTGGCCTTCAGAACGGCTCTACTTGTGACATCAAATGTGCTTGTTCCAAGCGACGACCAAGGAGAGGTGCGCTAGAACAGCACCAAGGGCCAACATGAAGATCCCAGGGATGATGCCTGGCAGGTCTTTTCAGTCAGTTTTGTTTTTCCCCTGATGGCCGAGGGGGTACCTGCTGCAAGGTTTACAGCAGGGGAGGAACCACATGCCATGAAAATGGAAAGTGATAATTAAAAAAAAACATCTGGTTTGGGGGTGGGGAACTCAAGGAACTCATCATCCATTCAGTTTGCCCATGACCATCCATTCGGTGGAACTCCATGAAGAGTCGGGGTTTCTTCAGGCTTCTATTCTTCAACCAACTGCACGGAACGCATGGAGTCTGCCAGAAGCCGAGGCGTTCTTCGGGGCGGACATGGGGCGGACAAAAGGATCCTGTGAATCGTCTTCCCATGGAGGCTCATGTCGGAGGACCATGCAGAACGCTTGGCGCAAGCTTCCAACCGTTCCAAAAGGCTCACAGTTCTATACAGTTCCCCCCAGTGTCAGTACTCCAGTGTCAACGTTGTCAGGTCATCCAAAGGTTCCAGTCTTTAATTGGGGTAAACCGACAGCAGGCTAACACTGAACCTGAAGTCGACCATAGAAAATGATCTTCTATATAACCTCTTTGTCAACTACCCCAGTTTGTTTCAATCACTATATCATACTATATCCAGTGTCAATTGGGTGGTTTGGGGTTGTTGTGTTGTTTGTTGTTAATTGTTATGGGATCTTGATGGTTTTTGTCTTCATGTTCGCTTCTTCATCTCTATCTCAAACGAACACCAATCAACCTCAACCCTTCAATTCTGAAAGATCTTGAAGAAACTTGAGAGAGGAGGGGGTGAACGAAAGGTAGCAGGCAACGACAAGTAACCCTGGTAGAAGTCCATGACGGCGTGAACCGCCGCAGCGGGGATTTGATCCAGGGCCCCCCCCCCCCCGACGAACAGAATCATTTCTTACAGGACCAAACTCAATGCACAATCCCAACTCCTGATTGTAAAACATGTTTGCATATTTTTGCTAAAACAAGGAGAACTCAGGTAGCTCAAGCTACCTTTCGTGACATTGGCACACCCTCCTGGGCCGAACGAACGAGTTACTCTCTCCCTGCACCGGGAGTCGGTTCGAAGGAGAATCGGTTGCCTCCAACGAGGCAAGAGGTTCACCCCGACCGAGACCGAGGTCTGACCTGTGCCCCTGGAGACCGACCGAGCAAAAGCTGGGCATGTGGTCACCAACCACTAGCGGCACCACCTGGTAGCACCACAGCCACCAGGTCCAGAGCTGAAGAACTTCTCGTTCATGGCACCAGATGGTCCAATGTAAGTCAAGCTTGTGAGGGATGTCCAAGCTCTGCAAGGAGGTGCAAGCCGCAAAGGCGCGCTTTTTCAATGTGGGTCACCGTGTTCTGGACGGCAAGCTTGCCAAAGAGCCGCAATCGCAAAAGAAGTACTCTTCAATGTGTCACTGAGTTTGGAATGCTCAAAGTGGCCAGAAGGCTGCAATTCGTGAAAGCGCCATCCCTAATGCGGGGCACTATCTGGGATGATCAACTGGTCCAATGTGCGGCAATCTTCGAAAGCACTTTCAAGGATTCATTGCTTGGAATCTCGACCACCAGCCACAATTCCCAGTCAGTGATGTCAACAAGGCGATCGCATCTTTGTTGGAACATATCACTTTGTTGGCTTTGACGACATGACTCACAACAATATTTTCAGCAATTCCAGCGTTGAATACCTTTGTGTCATTGGCGAGCAAGTGGTCGTCTCCGACATTGATCTCCACACCTGTGGTTCTTCGAGTGAGCTCTTCCCAAGGCTGTCCCTCCTTGATCTGCTGGTCTCCTTGATCTGCTGCTTGAGAGCCCAGCCTGGTGTCTGAAGAACAAGGATATCACCACTTGGAAATAGCGCATAATTGTTTGTTGCCATCTCTCAACCATACCGACTTATATAAATTTGAACTGATTGCTTGTTGACAAGCGTTGAAAAGCACTTCATGATCGTGAACACATGTTTGGCTTCTTCGCTTGACGGTCCACTGGACAGTTCAATACTGTCGTCGACATGGACATCGCACATGGTGGCCTGATCAGAGTGCAGTGAACATGTCTGCTCACATGCTCACTGACGTTCACTCTCCACTGTTTTCAATGATCTGATTGCGGGATGTACACCCTCCACGGGTGTCTCACCCCCACATGTTTGCGAAAAATAAGAGTTTCGAACGTCTCCTTCTCTCGAAGGGTCTGTGGATCTGATCCGGTACCGATCCACTCCGTCCCCCCAAACAAGGCGCCGAACCTGATGTCCTCAGCATGAAGGGCAACCTCCGGGCAGCGACTGAGGAAAATAGGAAGACCATGGAAGAGCGAGGAAGACCGGGGAAGAAGACTGAGAAGACCCAAAGCGCATCAAAGACTTCTGAGAATGTTGTAAGAATCCAGTAAAACCCAGTCTCCATGGAGTGGTTTTGATTGAACATCTACAGGAACCACGGTTTTCACAAAGCAAACTCATGGGTTTGCACACCAATGTTGCCTGAAACCCGAGACCGTCTCTTCGGAGGGTTTCCATCGGATCCAAATTCGGAGACCTAACCCTGGTAGGTTGACCGGTTGACCTCCCCAATACGTAGTCTATGTTGTTCTGTTTCGGTGGGCAGGGGCTCCTCTCGACCCACGGCCATCTTCTCCATGGTGCTACACCGACATTGATCCACTGACCAAGCAAGGAAAGGGCGGTTGCACAAGGAAAAGAAAGGGGAAGAACTCTAGAGAGAAACTGAACCACAAGCTAATTGACCAAGCACAGAACATATAGTGCAGTTCCAGGGCAACACAAGAAGGGAGCATCCATTCCCTCCAATCATGAAAGTGGAAAGCCACCTGTTTGGTATGAAGGACAAATGGTACACCTGAACAGTTCAACCTGAATCAACGTTCGCTTTCGCACCGAAACGGATCTCTGCTTTAGGTCCCAAATCGCCGTGCAAATCGGTCAAGGAACATCGGTCACGGGGCAACCAACGTCGTGTGCTACCGTGGACATATTTGCGCAGGGTGAAAACACTGGCGACCCCTTCTATATACCAAGAATCAAGTCTATATATAGCTTCCAAATAACCAACCTGGGGGCATAAAGCCATGCATGGGCATCACACACAAAACAAGTCAAAAGAAGAAACGGTTCCACCCTCCCAAACAGACACAAGCGGCCTTCAGGCTAAACAAAGATCCGACTCCTCTGCCCCCAAGCACCGATAGGCCAAGCAGCGATAGGCAACCGGCCCCCATGGCAGAGGACACCAGGGTGAAGACCGCAGCACCAGTGGAGCCCTCGGCGCGAAGGCTGAAAACCGAAAAACAAACCCGGCAGGTCACCAATCTGCACCACTCTCATGGCCCATGGCTTTGTGTCCAATCAAATCCTAGCATATGCATTTCTATAATTCTATATCTGGTACTAGTATACGGACTGGCCACATGAACACTTGCCACTACGCTGTGCCCGTGCCCCACGGAGCGATCGATTCCGGCGGACCAAAAACCACGGTGCGGCAGCCACGGTCTCTGACGAGGAAAACGTCTCGTGGATCGTCGGAGGACCATGGCCCCGACTCCGGATCCGTTACGGTGGGATCCGATGGATCCGTGAGCGACGTGCAGGTCAGGGGAGGAGTCGACGTGACCTGCAGTGCTGTGAAACAGCCTCGCAATGTGGCAGTTGATAGGCGATCACCCCAAAGGTAGAGGACCCAAAGATATCCAAAGCACCTCTGCCAGTCGAATCTTGGGATTCACATCTATTGGCTCGAGAACTCTACACATAATTCACTAGAATTCTGCTCAAACTATTTCAGACCCATTATGAATCACCTAAGTGCCTATAGATTGTAATTATGGCAAACCTCTTCATGGGCTCAACCAGGTGTTTGAACTCGTGAACTCGGTCGCCCAGGTCGTTCCGGCAGTCCAGTCGCTTCCTTGAAGAGCGAGACTTTGCTCTGAGAAAGGCCCACCGTCCTCGGATCTCCGAGGCCCACGGTGCGCGCGCGGCGCAAAACGCTGAGCGCGGCCAGCGTTGCCGCGGCTTGCCGCGCTGTTCAGATCATCCTTAAGCTCCTATGCCTCCAGGCGCGCCCTGGCCTCCACCCTACTAGCGATGACCTCCAACCTACCAATCGAAAGGGACGGACTACTTTTTGAAATGGAACTGGAAGGCACAGCCCCTGGAAGACCTGTTTTCTCTACAAAACAGGTGGCGACTTCCGCTTCCATGTTAATGACTCGGAGAGTACCGGCAGTGTTTTCAGGAATGAACTTTAGACCCAACATGACCCACCACACAAAAAAGAACAGAAACACCTACTAATACCTACGCTATATATTGTATATGAACACATATGAACACCACTATGAACACCTCATACACCTCAGAAACACATGGCACCTGGACAAACACATGGCACCTTGCGGTGTTGGGCCGAAGAATCCAGCGGACTTTGTGGAAGGTCCACCCATGGAGGTGGTCCACTAGCAAAACACCAAAGCACATCACTCACACACACACACACACACGGATCTCATTGAAAAGATATGAAGGTCGGTCGACCCCGACTTGAAGTCTGCCAGACCCCAGACCGGTAGACCCCAGACCGGTCGACGCCATGCAACTCTTCTCGAATCGGCTGCAATGCTTCAAGATCCAGGTGATTCCTGCAAGTGATGTCCGTCGAGTCCGTCGCTTTGGTCGGTCGGAACATCCGGACCCGGCCAACGTCGTCTGGTGTGTGAAGCTCAAGTCTTGAGGGAGAACCAAGGCTAAAGACACCCTGGTTGCGGAAAATGGGACCAGTATGGACCAGGCTACCGTCAACCAGTGATCCCCCCAATCATTGAACTGCCAAGCGTAGTGCGAAACGAGGAGACGGTATCTCGGCAGTACGAGTACATTGGCAGGACTTCGGACTGCGGACAGGTCGTGCTTGAACCAGTGGTCACGGGTCAGTCCGACTATGGAGATACCCAGGATATCCATCTATAGAATTCCATAGATCTGATTTGCGTATCCTTAACTTATAGGGAGGGAGCTTGGACAGAATTCGCGTTCATCTCTGGATCAAATCTGCAAAATGAACAGGATATAACAGGATGTTCGATAAGTATCGATCAAGTCCTCCAACAGCTTTTCTTTCTCCTCCAAATCCCACCGGACAGATCCACGGCCGTGGCGGAGCCCGCTGTGGCACCCGTGGTTGGTCGTCCGGACTGGTGAGGTCGGGCGGATTGGGAAGGCGAGCATCGAACCGAAGTTCTGAACGACTGGAGCAGATTTGCCAAGATCTGAGCATCACACAGTGTGGGAAAGAAAAAGGAGGTCTTTGTTCTAACAAGTTGCTGGAGGCTGTCTGAAAAGTCACACGCCTGTTGCACTGGCGCATGTTCTTGCGGATCAAGCGAGGCACCTGCTGCTTGGTCGCGCCACGTACGTGCGAGTTCCGAGGAGGCGAGTGTGGAGCGTGGGCGGCGAGAGCATGGAGCGTGGGTGAGGATAAAGATGAGAAAGTCCAGGAGACAAAATCAACGAAAAAAGGATCCATACGGAGTTCCTTGGCTGCGCAAAATCTTCCACCTCTGGACATCAGGCCGGAGCCCTGGAGGCCTTGGGCCGAGCCTTGCCTCGGGCCTCCCCACCTCGGGCCTCTGAGTGAAAACAGGAATCCAACCGGAGAAAAACGTCGTGCCATTCGCTGCCTCTGAATGCACTGGGGTGGAGAAATCCAGCCAGAGCCACTTCCTTGGCCGGAGAGGAAAACAAGCATCGACAAAAAGGGGTTTCGCGCGATGTTTGTGTTAAGACCAAAGAGCAGCAATTCAAGCTGAATCATCCAGAAACAAAACAATACATTGAAACATATACATTGGGTTGGTTAGGGATATGGAACGTCAAGCCTACACTGGAATATGGCCCGGAAGGGTTTGTACTTCTGTCAGGGGTCATTTCAAGTTCTATGATGATGGTCTGGCACGGGTGATATTCTAGCCTGGATGGCGGTTTAAACCCTTCCCAAAAATATTGGTCAACTTTATGGTCAACTGAGTTGTGTTTTTTTTTGTGGTGTGGGGCTTATACACTGGGTCTGTACCTACGCGGGCGCCTACGCCTGGGCTCCCCTCTCAAGCAAACGCCTACGCGAGAGGTTCTCTTTGTTAGGTGCCTACGCGGGATGCCTACGCAGGGTACTGTCACCAACTTTAGTCACATCAGGTGACTCGAAAAGAGCTATATAATCCGCAAGTAGTGGCCCGATGCGACCGGGTCACATCAGGTTCCTGTTTACAAGGCGTTTACAGCTTTGCTAACGATGGCCAGATAGATTTTGTATCAAGCCGATCCAATCACAGTGTGGAAGCAGCAGCACATAAACAGCGCACAACAAGCAGCAGAAAACAAGAGGCAGCAGCAGCAGCAAAAGCAGCAGCCAAACAGTAGCAGCAGCCAATAGCTTCTTGCCTACGCGCTGCTTCCGCGAGCGCCTACGCGGGGCCTACGCGAAAATAGGTCCATTGATTATGGTACCAACAGGGTGCGCACAGTTGTAGCTCAAGAGCCGGTGTGCCAGACCAAGCACGATCAAGCTTTTGACCTCAAAAACCAATGTGCCCCCATAGCTTCGACAAACAAACTTCAAACATCCACTGTAGCCATGTCGTTACAATTCATTTTCATTTTCCTTCCCCACTGGAATTTGCAAGCAAGTGTCAAGTTAAACAACTACAAGCCAACATTATCTTCCCCAAGACCCTTGAACAACTTTTAAAGAAGTCTGAATAAGAAAATTCAGGCTTTCATGAAAAGGGTGCCTACGCAAGACTGCCTACGCAAATCTTTCAACACCCACCTACGCAAAATGCTTACACGACGCCTACGCCCCAAGCAGAACAGCCTCCGCGACTTCTCAACAGTTCCCTTTTTGTATAAACCTAATCATTTGCAAAAAAAAACGTGGCTCAACTGGGGTAGTGATTCTAAAAGCACCAACCCGTAGCGTTCTGTTTCGATGCAGCTACCCTGTCCTGTCGCTTTGAAGAGATTCCACAAGGCATTATCTGGTTCTTCGTGTGTCAAACAGCTCGATTCTCAACATCATAACCCGTTGGACGCCTTGGACCGACATGTCTCGCGGTGTCTCGAGTCCTTTGTTTTACACATCGCGAAGACCTCGAGTCCTTTGTTTCGGAGATGGACGAAACTATGACCAACTCCTGGGCCCCCCTTTCCCCAGGGCCTGGGCATAGTCATGATACAGGCTGGGCTCGCAAGTCCGGGCTCAAATCGCAAACATGTTCAGGCCCCCACCCCCACACCACGTTAAAAGTGTTAAAAAAAAAAAAAACCAATTGAAAAAAACAAGCACAAAAAACTAACCAAACCATTACAGTAAAGACCCTTAAGAGTCCTGTAGTAGAGAATGTTTTGTTGGCATTTCGGAGACCTAAACCATTCAATCTGGCAAATGCGACCATAGATGACCATAGTGAGCCGTAGTGACCTTAAAAGGCTCGCAGAATGCATTCTGTCATTCCACGATCGTCTCACCAGTCTGCCAAAACACTTGATTACTATCTTACTAGTCGACTTGTTCCGTTCTGTCACTCCAATCCAAGCCACCAAAGCTCCGCATGGCGTACCTCCGCATGTCGCTCCGGAGAGCACCGGGAGCTTTCTCAGAACCGGACTGTACCAGGTCCTTGGAGTCCTTGATCATTCCCCCACCGTGGTGGCAAGCGTTTCACAGTGCGTGCGTGTCTGGAAACCGGCGTGTCTGGAAACCGGCGTGTCTGGTTACACTCGGTGTGACACCCAGTGGAGCTTGGTGAAAGCTGCACAGGGTGGGGGAAAGAAACTGAAAGATCATGATATCCTAATCGATTGCTGCGATCCTTACCAAGCCAGGCGGTACAAGGCCATGCATGCATGGACATGGGCAACATGAGATTTCAACAAAATCCAAACCTACATTGACCGTGAAACCGCTCTCATGTAGGCATTCATATGTCAGTCCCGTGGATATTCTTGGGGTGAAGCATGGTGCTGATCCCCTGTACCCTCAGTATGCTCGGCAGCTAAGAATATATATAGTCGCAGTATGGTCTAATATGCTACTCTTTCGGGTTCCGTGATGGTATCCGAACAAGAGCTGTCACTGTCGGTAGACAGAATGTTACATTGATATATCCTGATATCCTAGAACCCCTGCTTCTGCATGAAGGGTCATTTGCAATCTGCCTAAGTGACTGTCTGACTAGGAGCTTAGTGACTGTCTCACTACCCAGTGGCCATCTCTTCTGGAGTATCTTGGATAGGTCAATGACACTCAGACACTTGGCCATAAAAGACCTATCTTGATACTCCCAGTATGTTTGATACTTCATCAAATGTGACCATTTGGTGAACTCCCTGGGCTCGACCGGACGCGCAAAAATCACGACGACTTCGGTGTATGGGTGAGCCTGACGAAGCCTATGTGGACCATGCAGCCTATATGCACGTCCCACGGCTGGAGAAGCTACCAATTCATTGGGTGAGCTTCTAGATTCTACTGATTCCCAAGTGGCTGCGTTCTTCTTGTCTGCTTCGGTCATCGAAAACACAAAAAAACGACCGAACTCACGCAAAACAAAAACAACAAGCCGCACACCACACGCTTGCACTTGCGTGTAACAGGCGAGTCTCAGATGCATAGTCCCTGAGGTCTGCCAGGCCACGCTTGCTATTGCTCCTGGCGGTCCGTCCGACCCAAGGCCCCAGGAGTCCGCTCCACTTCGAGCAAACACGGCGAGTGGCGGGTGGTGTGCTTTTCGTGTGCTGCGTGGAGCCGAGCTTTCAAGCACAGAAGACTGAAGAGCCTGATGGTGGGGACATCAAAGCCGTGCAAGCACTGGGAACATCAAAGCCGAACGCACTCCACCTGTTCATGTCGTTCATCTTTGGTGGGGTGTCCTCCAAATCCCCCCAAACAAAAAGGTTAAAGGCCGGTTATCCAAACCACCCGGCCAATGTAGGTTTGGTATGAGTGCCAGACTGAGTCCTATTGGGACATGGTGCCCGGTCAGCTGGTCGGGTCGTGCGCCGTCCGGTCGTTTTGGGGTCCTGGTGCTCGAGCCACTACTTGAAGGGCTCAAGGTTGAGGCACTCTGACTGGTTTGGAGCTCCTTGTTTGGAACGCGCAAGAGAAACACTGGTTGAGATACCTTCGAATGATCGCATCAAAAGTATCACAAGTATACAGTAAGTATAGCGTGTATATGTTATATATATAACGACGGAGGACTACACAAGTTGACAGTTCTGTTTGTTCTGTCCTTCTCCAACGTGCTTTTGACCACATGTTCTGCTGGCTGTGTCCATATGTGGATATTGGTTCTGGCATCACACGCACATCATCGCACATCGGTCACATGCTGCTGTGACATTGCTCATATTCCTCTATACTACTGTCTATAGTGACTTAGGCAAATGTGGTTCAAGTGACATATCCACACGGCTACCCACAGGGCTAGGTCATCTGCACTCACACATCGAGCAATACAGGATGTCTGGGTGGGGAATCTTGCTGTCATAGGACCTTTGGACGCCTCCACAATCAAGAAACGGAAAACAATAAGCATCTTCACTGAACGCCTCATTTTTCAATGGATTGTGGTGGTAGTGGCGTGATGACATAGGCTTTTGGAATCACCATATATGTTCCACAAGTCCTAAGTTTCTAGTCAGTAGTATACGTTAATGATAACATGACTGGGGGCAGCACATGGAGTATGTAAAGAACACTCAGTCAAAAATGAAACATGTGCATATGATGCTTGACATGCTACATATCCCCACATCTTTCTGAGTCCACTGAAAAGGAACTTTACCCTTACCCTTGGCCCAATGGAGATGCATGATGCAAGTGTGACAATGGAGGATAGAGAGTGAGAGAGAGAGAGAGGACAACCTGCGGGGTACCAGTTCTGTCCTGGCGATTAATGTTGTATGAGTCTGCAGTGCATGATCCCGTAGTTTTTCACGGCACTTAGCCACTAATCAGTAGGCGTTGAGAAATGCCTGCTTCCAAGTACAAGAGAGTGGGTGAATTCCTCGATCACAGTGCCCAATGCTTGCAAAACACAATATCCAATCACACGACACTTAAACATGGAAATTAATAACGGCCTTTACACCAAGTGAAGTCACGTCCCATGTTCGTGCCAAAGAACATCCATCCTTTCGTTTGTGAAAAACGACGTTTTCGCCTTGCAAAGCTTGAGCATGGCATAGGAGCCCGCCCAGGCATTGCTCTCCGCTGGCCTCCAAGAAGCGGCTGCGGCTCCGGCTGCGCGGAACCCGCGGCTTCGCGGCTCCAATTCGGGTCACCGCGGGTCACTGAAAGAACGAAGGTGTTCCGAACGCAGAAAGGGATATATAAGGTGTCAGGAAACTCATGAAACTCGTGTTACATGATGTCGTACATGTTTATGTACATGAAACTCATGAAACTCATAAGAAACACTATGACTTCTGCATATCCTGCTTTACCCCCGAGCTCCAGGAAGTGCACCCAGTGCTTCGGCCGACGTTCTGCGTATGTCGGACACTCAGGTCAAGCATCGATGAGTAGTCTGCCAAGTGGCTCAAAAGGCATGGCCTAGGTCTTGCGGGAGTTGAGCTACTCTGAAGATCTACAAGCGATGGCTGGTGTGGAAGGGGTGCTTTCGGGGACGCCATTGTTTTGTCTGTTTGTTCCCGTGTCATTATATAGTGGCTTTGCCTTCGTGCCTCACTGGTTTTCTAGAGAGCTGATGGACACAGTAACTGCCATGTCTAAACATGGCTTCTACTTTAAACATGGAAATGAACAAGCAGAAACATTGTGGATGAAAGGCAGGTATCTAGAAATGGTCTCCAGCGTATGCTATTTGTACTTTCCAGAATTGACAAATCGTAAGTTTGAGCATCCCAAAAATATACAAAGTACCAAATAACGAGGCCGCCACATGTTGTAAGGCATGAGCCCACTGAATCAAGATTGAGTACTCCGAATCTGGCAATGAGCCATGCGCCCACTGTATATATCTCAGAATCTGGTACACGTCTTACGCTCCGCCAAAGACTTTTGGGAAAGCCCATGGAAACCATGTATCAAATCATGAACATAGTGACTTCTGCATGTACAGAACAAGATTTTGGTGTTGCATCGATGCAGGTCTGATCCATTCCTTGTCACCAGAATGTTCACTAACATGGATGGCAAAACAAACATGATACTCATGGATTGTACTAAAAAGCGGATTTTAAAAAATAGACGTAAGAAGCAATGCTGCCTGCATTTTGGCAGGTTGAACTCTTCACTCCACCGCATGTTCATTCGATGTCACCGAACGGAATTCCAGTCTCGAGGTCCTTCGATGTCACGTGTGACGCGTGAGTCCATAAACCGCTGGACCCGGGTTTCATGAAGGAGATGACGCATCTGGCATTTGTCTGTAATGAGAACTCACCGTCATATTGCGTCATATACGGGGGCATCAAAATTATAAAAGGATATAAAAGGCACCTCCCGAACGGTTTTGGGGACTTTGACCTTGGACGACAGCAAAGGTGAGTCCTAGTCGAATTGGGAACCAGAAATGGTCGAAAAATTGGTCGAAGTGGTTATACTGTAACCACTTGAGCTGTTTCCAAATGAAAACAATAGTTTCACTGGTGTATTTTGGGGAAACCCATCTCACCAAATGTTTAAAGATTTGCCACTGGCTCCGCTGCCATGCCCGTCAAGTGCCCTTGATGCTGCTGAGAGACGCTTTGCTGAGTGCCCGCAAAGTTCCAAACTCTGATTGGACTCTGTTGTGGCTGCTCAACTAAAACGCATCTCTTGAGCCGAAGCACTAGATTCAACAACCGCTTGAGCCAATCAACCGCCAGCTGTGTGCCATCTACTCCTATAGATATTAAAAGGCGTACCCGGACCCCCAAATGGCTTCCGGACGCTCTTCCACTTGATGACCTCTTTCGCGACCAGTTTGCCTGCCTTCCCAGCGAGCCGTTGGTTTTGCCCAACACCGTACCAGGAACCAAGGCAAGGCCGACCTAGAACCTGCTGTTAATCGGCAAAAGGATGGCAAGGGGGAGGCAGTATTCTTTAAAATGTCTTCACTGTTGGGCACAATATACATGGGTCGATAAACCAAGAAACACAGCCCAAGTTGAGGAAACGATAACACATGTTGTTGGTCCTTGAATGTCCTTGATCTTGCATGTTGCTGAAACAATTGCTAAACAACACGTTAAATGTATATCCCAAGTGTTTGTAAAGAATAATGAACATCCAAAGTTTCATGGTCCGTTTGAAGCTCGTTTCACAAATGACTTGCTCCAAACATGGTGAGACTGGGCGGCAACTTGCCGCGTACCTGGTTGGACCGGCCCCGTGCGGGTGAACTAGCACGGAGGGACCAAACGAGGTGGTTTCAGACACCGTACTTTTGGATGCCAAAGTTGCAAAACCCTGTAAACAGGCATCTCAAACCATATTGCGTCATATACAAACACATATATATATATATATACATGTGTATTATATATATACAGTATTGCAATATGATCAATGGCCCTTGCATATGCGTTTCTCACGCCAGTCCTTCAGGTTCAGCATCGTCAGAAGCAAGTCCCTGGCGCTGGCCTCACGATGGGGGATGCCTACTTCCTTACCTCGCTTTTCCTTCAGTTGTTAGACCAGGTGCCATTGTTGTGAGGATTGCAAGAGCAAAGACATCTGAGTGACTTTCGTTCTTCAAATCAGCCTGCTCCGCGTTTTCTTGGATCCATATTTGATCTTTCTTTTGCAATATTTTGCTGTTTCCTCTATTGCTACAGTATCATCCACTCCTCTTTACTTTTGTTGATGGTCGTTGTCGGTGCTGCCTCGTCTCTACGAAACCGCCCGAATCAGGCTGTTTCGTCAACGTCCTCAGCTTGGTCATCTACACATGCCCTCATGGTGCCCTCATGCAAACATTTGAAGTGGGACTTGCAAATCTTCCATACCAAACCTCGGTCGTACTCCTTAGCGCAACCTGCCCTATAGGACTCCAAATACCTCCTGAGAAGGTGGGACTGGGGTGGATTTGGCGGGTCGAAGTACCTTCACTAGAGGCCTATGGCTGGTGTGGTCTGCCTCTCGCTGCCACAGGTTGCCACTCCGCCATTCTTTTGGCCAGCGCACTTCGCTCGCCGCTCGCTGAAAACAGGCTGAGCGCTAATCGAAGTCTTCAGTAAGGTATGGCTCATGGAGCAGCTATCAAAATCCATGTGACGTGGTTGTTTTGCTCTGAGCCATCTGAACTATTGATGCTGTGTCTGTTGATCTTTTACATGAGGTCCTAGAGGGTGCTAGGCTAAGTGCAAAGTTTGTAGACTAGACTCCAACAACAGTAGTAATCTCCCCGAGAGTGTTACATGATTGGGCACAATTGATGCAAGTGGCCCCTTACATGAGCCATAACATACCCAAGCCGTTGATCCTGCACCGATGATCTTCTAAACGCTATGATGAGTGCAGATGTGAGTAGCAGCATTTACTGATGCCTTATACCGCCCCCTAAAGTGGTCCTAAAGCTTCAGAACCACAATAAACACACATCGTAACATCTCCAAATTATTGTAATCAGGAACACGCGTGTGGCTTCTCCACAAAAGCCTCGTTGAACTCTGCCTAACAAGACATATACTACCGATGCTCCGAGATCAAAGACTCAATTGGAAAAACGCGCGCGCTTGGCTTCTCTCACATAGCGAGGAGTCTTTTCGCTGTTCCTCGGTGGATGCGATGGGCAAAGTGCGTTGCATTATGTTGCATTCAAGGTGAACGCACAGATTTTGCAAAAAAAAAAACGCATCCGGCCCAAGTCCAAAATCTATATCTCATAAAATTCAGAAATGTCTTTCCTGCATCAATCAACCAATCCCAAACCCAATCGACAGCCTTAGAGACTGGGCACGTCCCATCTGCTCACTGAATAAATCAGTGGTCTTCCTCTCCCTGCTACCGAAACCCGAGGTTCTTACTTACGCCAACCTTGCAGTCTCTATGTATATAGCGGTGTCCTGTCCGTGTTGCGGGCACGTATTCCTTCCAGGTCTCTTCACACCAGGAGCATCTTCCACACCAGAGGCCACGTCCACACCAAAGGGATGAACGGTGCTCACCAGTTCCTGAGAGACTAGACTGGACGTGCGCAGCTCGATGGGTTCTCCCCGGTTCTCCCCTATTCAGGACGACAGCTTCGTTCATCATGTCGCCCCTCCACCAGTCTAGAAACTCGAAAACGCCCACGGTGCTTACGTACGCACCGCTAAAAAACAAGGTCCATAGTTCCCAGGACAAATGGTCCATAGTTCCCGGGTAATGGGAATTGACTGTATAAAGACCTTCCTGACCCCTCAGCATGGGAACCTGCCTATTCTAAGAGATGGGCGATAAATTCACAAACCTCCCATGAAGGACGTATGCATTGTTCAATTTGAGGTTCTTTTTCCTCATGTCCGAGATGTCCCACATGTCCCATTCCCCTAGTGAATTGGACATCACTTGATCATCCCGGAGTAGATTGCTTGCCACCATTCCGGGCAACTGGTGGTACTTGGTGCAAATGGATGCAAGTGGTAAAGCAGTGAGATGAATATATCAGGACAATGAAAAAAAACACAGAGATTGACAAAAGGGAGAGATGAACCAGTGTGGCATCTCCGACATCAACATGTCCATGGTGGTTTCACCACGTTCTCAGCCATTTCTATCCAATTCTCACAGAAATTCTCACAAATCCTCGAACTATGAAAGCCCTCAAAAATAGAAACACCGTGACTCCCAAACAAACACACAAGCTCTTGCTGCATCCTCTCACTGCCTCTCGCTGTGACCCGTGTCTCCCAAACCCAGCCTGATGAATGTCACTGGAGGGCACTGGCATCCCGTACTCGTAGCAGCTTTGTGAAAGGATTCAGAATTCTTAAATGATGTATTCATTGAGTATCCTTTGCAACTGAACCAGATATCACAAAGTGCCTATGTTCTTTAAGACCTCAGCTTTTCCATAAACCCAAGATATGACCTTAAGACCTCACCAGGTGCGAATTAAATGCAAAGTGACCTAAATTGACCAAAGACCGCCTCACCCATGCGACCCAAACTCATCGGAGCCAGCACATGTTGGGCAAATGTTGGGCCAATAAATACAGTATACACTCTCAAGTCACTAAGATGGAAGTGCAAAACCACCTGCAGTGCTTGTACTGGTAGAGGAACATGATCTGCAAAACCACCTACAGTACTACCTGTATTTGTATGCATGTGTAGAGGAAAACCATCATCCAGGGCCCATGCCATCCACGCAACCATGTTTCTTGTCTTGAGAAAAACCTTCACACCTTCACGGAGCGAAACGTCACGCCACACACGCACCAGCTACAATCAACGAGCAAGTCCAGTGGCAGAGACGTTGGCATCATTGAGGCCTCCAGCCACAATCACCTTGGCATCGAGGTGGCCGGTGGCCCGAAACCAGAAGCAAACAAAGGTGAACTACTTGGATTTGCTGTGGAACTGGGGAAAGAAGTGACAATAAATTCCAAAAATGTTCCTCACTTCGTGGATGGATCCACTTTGGGATTCCCCAATCAATCGATCCGCAACACTAGGATTATAATTTCGGGTGATAGATGGGTTGTATGCTTCATGGGGCATTTTATAGAATCATGGTGTTTATGAAATGACTCGTACATGATCAACACTAGGAATATATATATATAGGTCATGGTTAGTGAACAAAGAATTACAATGTCAGGCATGAGTGAAAAAACTCTGTCCCTGTCTGCAATCGGCTGGTGCAACAATGTACATCTATACATCAATCTAGATGAGCCAATCCTGTGTTCAGCAGCCTCACAGATCATTCCTCTACTGCCTCACACTTGCAACATTGATAGCTGCTGCTCAAGGCTAATGCTCAGCTAAGCCCAGAGGCTGGAATGCCCCACTGCTCCTGGCACTGCTTGGCCACCTGCGGAGCAGGCGCCGAGTGCTCCGCGCCGGCTCGCAGGATGGGCCTGTTGAAATCAAACACTTCAACCAGCCCCGCTGCAAACCGTGCGAGGACACGACATCTCCCAAAGCTGCAAGCTTGAGTGTTTCACCGAAAATAATATACAACGGGTGCTCCTGGGAGATGCAGTTATTGATATTGTGCGTGGTATTTACAGTCTGTTTTGACAGGCTTTGAGCTGTGTGCTCTCCCAAGCGAACCCGCTCCGGCGTGTCTTGTGGATGCGCTTGTACTTGTACTTATCTTGTCTAATACTAAAGTTGTTCATCGTTTACATTGCTCCTCTGCGCGGATGTTTGGTTCGACTATATAACTTGACACCCCCCTCCGCCCGTTTAATCACCCTTTGCACCAAGCCAAGGTTTACACATGTTTACACCAACGACCGTTCACAGTTTACACCCAACCGCGGTTTGCACCAACCATAGTTTGCAACACACACCAACCACAGTTCACATCAAACCACGGTTTTTACCAATCACCGCATACTATAGGACAAGACCTTGCGTTTTTTTCGCCGCAGCTCTCCCACCTCACCCCTTCTGCCCGCGCACTGTCTATCATACAGACCTCGACAGACCCTTTCGCCACCGACCCCTTTCCTCCACACCTATATCTAGACTTTTGGAAATCTTAGAATGGGTTTAGAGCGGCCAGCCCTTGCCGTTTCCTTGCTTTGTGTCTTCCCCTGCCTTCAGTCCAGCTCCCCTTCTCGTATTTTTGCTCACGACACGTTGCTCCTCTGCACACATGCGGCAGCATTCAGCCGTGGAGGCCGGCGGCACACGCCAACGGCGGTAAAATATCCCAACAACATATCCCCCCAACAGGTTTAAACAAATTGTTGGATTGGATTAACCCAAATCCGTTGATAGGGATATCACAAACGATAGGATTTCATCATGCTCTGTTGATTCAGCTCGCCTGCCAGTCGAAGGCCGCCCCTGTGCCGCCTGAATGGCTCCCTTTCACCGCCGTGTCCAACAAGAGGGCATCGGTGCAGTCAGCGAAAGTGGACCTGGGAAAATCACTCCCTACCTCCAAGTACCTCCTCAGAAGGACCCTCCTGGCCCCCACCCCAGTCCCACCTTCTCAGAAGGTACTTGCTTGGGGCTCAGGGATGAGGAAACAAACATCTTCCAGCAGTATTAGAGGGTAGGGGCGCCGAACTTGGAGGGTAACCAGAACATCCACTCACTGGATGGGACTAAAAGCCATTCCGACATGGAACTGCTGGTTTGGCAATAGGAAACTATCCCTGAAAACCCCATCCCCCATACAGGCTCAAGGAACCGGGGCGCCCGACCGAGAACACTGGATTTTGTGGCATTAGTAACTATCCCCGTGGATCTACGTACCTTCTCAGAAGGTATTTGGGCCTCCAAGCCTACTTAAATAGTCTCCAATCACCTTCTCAGAAGGTATGTGGATCCACAAGGTATAGTATACTCGCCAACCGTTCCACGAGATCTGGTACGGCCTACGACGCCAATTCGGGGCCAATCCGCAGACCTTCAGACTCGGTGTGAACCCCTAGTAGACCAATGCATATGATTTGCAAATACTATTTCAATCTATTGCAGTACGGGGCAAGAAACATCAGTGTGATATCACAGCTGTACTGAAGAAGAACTGGAGACTGTCACAGCTGTACTCGGTGCTCGTTGATTCTGTCTTTTCAGGGCACTCTTCAATCGCAGGGATCTTCAGATGGTCCGCATCCTTCACAGGTCTAGTCTCGGGTGGCAAAGGATTTGCTGTCTCAAGGACATGGCCTTCAACATGGTTTGTGCACAGGATTCACCATGGTGAACCTTCATTCAAGCCAAAATAACCAGCTTCACCTACCATCATCGGCCCATGCAACCTGAAAACAACATATTTACATCAAACATGCGGCCTTTCGACCGAGTCAAGCGACAGTCGCTCCTTCAACTGAACCAAGGCAGTGCTCTCCTGCAGTGACTTGCCGTTACAAGCAGCTAGAAAACACACAGAAAGCAGTTGTCGGTTGTTCAGGAAATAGTATTTTGACCCTTGGTCCCTTCTAGTACAGAATTGGTCAAAGCCCAACTCCTTAGCCTAAGTTCCTTCCTAACAAACACCCTAGCACGCAAAGTCTGTCTCCTTTCGAGAAACCAAATCAGGTTTTCTCTCCAAGACTTACGTACTTTTGATTGCCTTTCGAAGCACTCTTCTGCCATGCAAACTCATCTGCACACGCAAACTAATGAGCGGGTTGGGTCGGGGGGTGGGGGGTAGGGTGGAGTGGGTTGCAGTTGCCAACCAAACAGTGTGACTCTGAAGTGCCGAAAGGGTTGCCAGATTGGACAAGGTCAACATCTTTACACACACACACACACACCCTGTTCGAATAATTGTCTGCAGAACTTTTTGCTGATCTCACGGGTGTTGTTGACTTGTGTCGGTGGATCGGCTCAGGTGTCGATCAGAGCTCAAAATTAAAATGTCCAAGACGTGCGCGAAAAACACACATTGAGCGTGTTCCTAAACAAACGTTGCAACAAACAACAGTCTGCGATAGCAGTTATTACAAACTGACATACACACGACAAAGTACGTTCATAAGATACTCCCGCATGCAAAAACGAGTAAATCGATCCGCGTGCAAAACAGATTGTTCGAATGCGTGCAAAAAACGAGCAACCGCCCTTTCAAACCACACACGATGAAACACACCCATACCTCGATGATTTCCAAACATTACCCCAGGGTACATTGATGTGTGTGCATTTGTACATCGTCCCACTACTTCGTCTCTTGGCCCTCTTTCGTCGCCCTCCTCCATCTTCTCCGAGCAGGGAGGCAAATGAACCACCTTGATGAGCCACACATCCTCGGTGCACCGAGCGAGCAGCGCTTACGCGCGCGTCACCGCCGCGGGGTGGCAACGCACAAGAGGGCCGATGCAACGCACACGCGTGGCGCTTTTCCAAAGAAAAAGACGGTGAGGCACGGGAAGAGACACAGATTGAACAATGGTGTGGAATGCGGTCTGAAATGGTGGCCTATCACTGATAGCCGTGGAAACTGCCGTGTCCCTGGGATATGGCGCTGTGTTTTGGAAACTGACTCTCCATGTTCACCTCATTTCACTGGTCATTCGGGAACACGGACCGGTTTCATCCAGTTCCCACGAAATACAAGTGGCCGGCCGGCCCTGGTGGCCGGCCTGGTGGCCCAGCTACTTGATTGTGTATGATTGTGTGGTCCATCCGACTTCGATGGATGCCATCCCTCTGGTGTGATCAGTGATCGATGCAATATCTTGCATACCCCCGTGGCAGCTGGGATTCTCAAAGTGTTAGGCAAGCAATTGCTTGCTCAAAGTGTTAGGCACGAACAAAATGTTGAGCAGTTGTTTCATGTTATTTCAGTAGTCCACGAGTAGCTAGAAACCACACCCAAGAATTGTTCGACTATAGACTTTCAACTATTTTGATACTCACAGACACTCAAGTCACGATCCAATCTCAAATTAAACACAGCTTGTATTCATTCTAATAGCACTGCTTCAGAAACATCCCATTTTGCTGAGTCTCTGGAAGCAGCTTCTGCAACTGCTGCAAAAACGCAGGATCTTCGCCTTGGTGTCTTTGGTGCCAAAGACATACGACTTATATATGACCTTCGAACGCCTCTTCTTGCCATGCGAACGCGACACCTCCGGTGTTTCAACGAACACAGACACACACTCTGACATTGGTTTTCAGTTAACTCAGTTCCCAGGTCAAAAATGGCGAAGGAACGGCAGGGTGAAAGGTCCGAAAAGTTGAAGGTGTTTGAACAAAGGCTGTTTCTCAAGTCTGCAGAAAGTCGGCGGTGGCGAAAACGAGCGGCGCAGCTGACGGCGGCAAAAGAAAAAAGTTTAAGGGGTAGGTATCATGAAGGACCATGAATCAAACAGATCAAATTGGACAGCGTGTTCAACAGTTGCAG